ACAAATCCAAGTCAATCAATTAAGAATACCCACATTTTGTGCGAGTTTCTTAAAATAGAGACTTTGAGCAACAGTTGTTCACAAAGTTGGGTTCACAATATTAATATTTATGCGATGCGTACTTACGACGATTAAACTTTTACTGCATCGTAATTCTGCAGTTAATTGGGACTTCTAACCAAGGTAAAATTTAGCCCTGCATCAGCAACGAAACTCGAGGAATAAATGAATAAATATATAATAAATGAATGAATAAATGAATAACAAACCAGGCATGACTCAATCACCTTACTGAATTTGACGGTTACTGAGGAGTTCCATTGGCGGTTTATAAATTTAAGTTGTAGCCACATTTTTTTTAGCTAGGACATTTAATTTCATATATATATTGAATGAGTAATGGATGGGCTGTTTGGAATAGCAGGCTTCTGCTCCTCGAGATTCTGTGACCGGATAGAAATATGCATAAGGCTGTCCCTCTGAAACTTCAACGCAATTCAACACGATACATCAGGAATCCATTTGACTTCAGCCACATTTCTGCGATAAAATTCACACATCGTTTTCAGCCCTGAAAACTCATGTTGATGTAAATCGAGAGAGGGCAGCAGCAAGATCCAAGAAATGCTTGACATTCCCGAGGAGTTTTCCCACCGTGCAGACAGTAAAAGAGCTGCCCGGATTTCCCACTGAACGCCGAGAACTTTGTAGGCAAATTGCCTCGTTGGTTCATGATGTTGTTGTCAGCTTGAATGAGATGTACACCGATGGCATAGTACAGTGAAGGCATAGTGAAAAAATGTAACTCAGTACTCACTGCAGTGAGTGACAGAGAGCGCATTTTCCCGTCGACGAAAACTTGAGGTCACGGACGGACAAACGGACGGACGGACGGACATGGCGAGCACAATAGCGCCTTTTTTCCATAAATGAGAAAATGTGCTGAAAATGCTGACAATGAGTGCAGAAGAGTGAAAATCCATGCATGTTATTTCATGAACATGTCAGGTGAGCGTCATCGCATATCACCACGTTTATTCCCCACTGAACTACATGTGTCTTATTTTAAACGTACTCATTTGCTCATTACAGAGAACGACGTATATACTGATTATGATATATTCGCCATATTTTGAATAACTAATTCCTAAACATGAAAAGCCCAACCGAAAAGGCGATTAATCGTACCAGGTTGGAAAAGACCGCGGGTCTGATCTGTCGGATCAAGATTGTCCTTAATTATCTCTCCAAGGAGGTCGTGGAGATCTTCCGCTCCACATTTCTAAACCGCATTGAGGACATCACAGGAGACCTTTTTATTCCAGATGGGAACTCTGTAACGGTATCCTGGACGCTAAACCATTTTAAATCTTACGCTATATGGGTCCACATAATGCAATTTATTTAGCTTATTGTATTATATAACAATTTTGCAAGTGAGCGAATTATTCAATAAAGAAAGAAAATTATTTTCGCAGATATGTAACAAAGATGAGAATAGTATGCTTAGAATAAGCTTAATATTATTGCTCGTTGAGGGTATATATTAATAATATGCAATAACTTTCATTTAATTTTAAGTGTTGCCTTCTGCATGTTATTTGATTAATAATTTGCACATCTAAATATATGAGAGAATTTACTTCATTAAGTTTTTATTCGAAAATTTATCAATTGAATTGTACCCGAACCTCATTCAATATCACTAGCCTTCAGTAATATATTGTATTGTATTGTTGTGTTATTTACCGGAAATGAAACTTTGTTCTTTTAAAAATTATCGTGTCTCATTTTAAATATTTTCTTAAATATATGATCGGTAATAAAACAAATAACAGGAAATAATTAGAAGCATACAATTATGGTCACATTACCGCATAATTAAAATAAATTATTTAAATTGGTTGCAGGGGAAGCGTGAAGAACAGTATTTTAGTGAAAATATGATGATTTCTCTAAGAATTTTCTCATCTGTTGAATTATTTATGGCCTTTTGACTGTATATCATGGGTAAAATACTTTTTCTAATGAAGCTAGAAAAAATCTTGGCCCTTAAAACCAATTTGATGCAAATTACCATGAACCTTTTTGGTGATAGAATGGAATCAAAATTATACACCCACATGTTACTTCATCAATAACGCATATCGATGAAAATTAGTTGCATGCACGCAAAGATTTATTAAGATTGATATATTCATTTATAATTTTCATCATGAAATTGAGAAGCTGAAATCTCTACTTGGATGAATCCCAGGCTTGAAACAAAACAAAGTGATGAATGTATTCAAGCATCCAAGTTATTTGATACCGAAGGGTACAGGTAATAGCAAAAAAAAATACTATAAGCCCATCTTAGTCGAGCTTGGTGGTAAAAATACATTTGGACAATGTTGGTCTGCTCAGTTGATCTACGAAAATCCAAACTTAACTTCTAACAGTTCAAGTTTTTTTGAGTAAACCATTAAGTAAATTATGAAGCTTGAGTCTTGTAATTCAGCAGCGATAACCGAGATTTAATGTTGAATTGCATACGAAATCAATATTATTCTGATACCAATGTAAGCGTGCGCTACGCAGCGCACGGTTATGCATGCAGGCAAGCATCTCCGCTATTCGCTTTGATCGCGACCTCCATATCGCATTCAATGATTCTATTTCAATAGAATCTGCCCAGGAGCCTTGAAGCAGTGTTGGCACTTGCAGGGATACACACTGCGCCTGTGGAGCTGAGATTGCACTGTGACATGTTGAAATTTGTAAATGATTTCATGGACGGCTGAGAGAGTGAACTGCGAGAACTGCTACTGAATATCAATTTTTTTATTAAGTCCAATTTATTTATTATTTATTTAGCAATTTATTAATAAATTTATTTTTTATTTATTATTTATTAAGTAATACATTTTATTAATTAAGATAAGTCAATTGTTTTTAGGTCAAAATTTTTTAAACGTTTCAAAATTTAATAAGAAAACTTAACTTGAATCTAATACACGAGAAAAGGCATAAGATTTTCTTACTTATTATTTCTGGGGCCGTAGCTGTGCAGCAGATTTAGATACACAACGAAATCTATTTATTGAACGGATGAATAATAATAATAATAATAAAATAACTCACACCTGCATGCACGATAATAACTCACGATTTTGCACGATAAATTTCCCAATTTGAATTATATTTTTTCCTCACGTTTGTACTCAATTTAAATGTCCATTAGCATGTAGTAAACAGCTCTCTCAATTAAAATTCATGTACCCACGGGAAAATTTCACCAATTTTTTTCGCCGGTTGATCGTCGGCCATCAGGAGCAATCTAAAGGCCTGCAAAAATATGTAGCGGAATAAATTCTCGTCCGATAATTAGCGTAATGGGCCTAAATTTTTTCCTCTACTTTGATGACTTTAAACAAATTTTCTCCGAAATTTGTGGTATTTTAGGGACCTGATAAAATTTAAGTTCACAATCTACCAAAAAAATAGCGAATAGACAAGGCATTGAAAGTCTGGATTTCAAGGTTTGCTCGTTCTACTTAAATTATCTATTAAATAATAATAAATTAAAATCGAAAGACTGATATTATTCTTCACGTATAGCATGCACACATATCCAACTTCTCGATCGCTTCATCATGAGGAATTTGTGTCTACATTTGTATGGAGTAAATCTTCACCGAGCCCGGGAAAAAGTAACAATAACGCAATTCTTTATTAGTGATTTTTACTGAAATATTGTACCAACACAATAGCATATATTCAACACCTTATGTTGTATAGGCAAAAAAAAGATTATAATCAAGTCAATAATCTTGATCAAGATCAATTATCAATATTCCTATAATCAAGTCAAAAATAATGATTAAACGTCGTTGTTATCCATAATCTGTTACACTATCAATGGGCCAAGGAACGATAAATGGGACTTGCACATTTTTTCTAATCACAAATGTATGCCATTTACACAATAAATTGTGTATGACATTTGTCTGTCGGATTATGCATTATCATTATGATTTGAATCGTCAAGGTTGTCTTACAATTATTTGTGTCACGTAAAGAGGTTGGCTGCTAAGAGAAAATTTGTTGGGTAATGATCATTAAGCTGTCATTAGGCCACCTTAATGCTCTTCTTGATTGGCATCTTTGAAAATATATTGCTCATTTCTCCCTAGGGTTTATCGTTTGCCTCTACGACCGTCTATAAATTTCTTTATTTTTTACATTTAATTTAACCATAATGGCTGGAGGCGCCGTAAGAAAAACATGGGAGAGCAGAAAAAGTTGTTTAGTAAATAATTATAAATGATTATAACCTCATGATTATAAATGATTATGGTTACATTTTCTCGGATTATAAGAGATAAATCATGCCCTACCCCCATTATATTAATTTGTGGAAGATTAAAGGCAATTCTTGATTCATTTCAATTATTCAGTCTTAGTTATTTATATCTATATGCAGGCTTAATTATTAAATTTATTTACATATGATTCGTAATTTACATCAATGTATGTTAAGCGTTCATCAAAACAAATATCGGCTTCACAAGAATACGAATATTTTAAACAATGTAAAGAATTTTTTCAACTCTTCTGAAAGTTCATACACAATGTCTGAAACATCAATGAATAATATTTGTGTACAATTTTCAAGCATAGTAGGCATTTAACGATTTTTTCCATTTATATAACGGTGATTTATTTTCAGGATGTTTTATTCAAATAATTAGGAAAATAATTTCTACTTATCCCAGTAAACTCAGGTTTTCGTGTCCCAATGGACAATTAAAGAGATTGGTTTCCCCACTAGCGTCCTAATTGATCTGTTAGAGCAGTTTAATTTTTTCAATTATCATAATCTGCCAATACTCATCCATTTTGAAATTTTCTATCTCATACTGAAAAATTTTGGTGGAACTAAATTTTTTGACAGCAATTTTTAAAGAATATTTAATAAGATTTCGAGTAATTTTTATCTATGTTCATGCTTTCAATAGAGACTGCACCAGTACGCAGGATGACTTGGACCCAACATCCGGCAGTCCAGCTGGTCAGAGCGAGAATCAGCCTAAGGTCAACACAGCCTCAGAACAACAGCCTTCAGTTCTGAAGCGAGAGAACGGGAAGTCGACTCACTTACAGATCTTGGACAGCCTTTTGAAGGAGTATGACCGTCGGGCCACTCCATCGAACCATCTAAGTAAGTATATGATATTTGATTTAAATATCGCTTTAAATATTTTTACAATTACTGATAACTGAGTTGACTGGAGGTTGGAACAACACGAAAGTGCTTCGGTATCTGATTAAATTACCTCAAAAGAAGGCCAATGCTAAGAAAAATTTTGCGTTTAAAAATTAAAATGTGACTAGTTTTCTATGCTTGATTCAATCAAAATTAAAATTTAAGAAATGACGAAAGATCATATATTAATCAATTATCAGGTTACACTCAACGTTCAAAAATATCCGTAACGAACATTTTAACATGTCCATTGTAAGAAATTTGATATTTTAGTCGCAACGAGCAAATTCGGATTCTTGACATGAGTTGAATAATTTTCAGTGCTTGACTATGTAACCGGTAAAAGCATCCGAATTTCAGTTAAGTGTGAATATGAACAAAAACTCATCAAATTTCTCAAGAAAAAAAAAGTGAGCGAAAGTTTCATTTGCTCATTTCTTTTCTGAAAAGCCTTCGCATCGTTTTATTTTTTCCCAGGCGCTGTAACCTAATTGAGAAGAAATTTTATTTTCTAGACGACATTTGTTGCATTGAACTTTTTCCCATACTGTGACATTTCGAGAAGATTAGCTTAGCTTTCCGCCAGAAGCCAAAGACTGACAATATTCTGCACTGGTTCTCTTTAGACTTGTTTGTAAGCGGGATGTAGCACTGCCAATTGTCAGGTGATCATTGCGAAATTAACCGAAAACCCTGCTTTCTGCTCATGTATGACTGTATGTTTGACTTTTCACGTATAAATTGTAGAAAGTAAAGAGGATTTTGCCGAAATTGTGCATAAAAAATAATTTCAAAACTTAAAATAAACAATACTCGATTTAATCACAAGAAAAAATTATCGAGGAAACAGCGAAATAATTTATTGATATAAGAATAAATGCTTCTATGAATGAGTTCGATATATATAGCGTTTAATTGCGTATTCGACATTTTCAGTATGCTCTGAAAATGAAAGCAAACTTTCACAATTTAATAGAAAATCAATTATGTAGACAATTTAAAATTACTTGCATGGCGCACGAAATAATTTGAACCTTTATGGCTTTCTTAAAAAATAAGAAATTAAATTTATATTTATCAACCCAATACATACAATACAATACATTATAACATAAAAAGAAAAAAGTCAAATATGATTGCGAATATGACCATCCAAGAGGTCGTTCACACTTGTACTAACTTGTGTCGCAAATTATCACTGCAAATGGATACGCACGACATAATTTTATAATTTTTTATTTTATTTAAAAAACCAGCTATTAAATTTATATTTATCAAACCAATACATCAATCATTATAACATAAATATGAAGAGTTAAAAACGACTGCAAATATGACCACCAGGTCGTTCACACTTGTACCAACTTGTGTCGCAAAATATCACAGCAAATGTATACAAAGTGTCAAATGTTTGTCGCTCGCTGAGGTGAAGACACTTTTGTTACTGACAGGCTTCTTGGTGTTTTCATGCAGCAAAGTCTTCTGCAATTGGTCGAATATATCGCGAGCGAAGATTGTGAACTCGGTTTGAGTTTATTAGTGATATTTTTTGACGAAATATAACAGAGAAATAAGGAGGTTTTGAAAAAGTTGTTTAAAGAAAGTGAGAGGTTTAAAAGTTGGAAAAGAAGGTGACTCCACAAAACATAGATAAGGCAAACCTGGAAACTTGGACAAAATAGAAAATGTCGAAGAAGTTCAGGCAATTTTGTGGAAAATTCTGGAAGCAGGGATTTTGTTTTTTTAAATCCTAAGCCTTTAGTTACACACATTCTAGAGAATTTGCGTGAATGAACTGAATAACTGCAGTTTAGTGTGAATGTGAAGTTTAATACGAGTTAATTTCCCTAGATTGTAATTTCCTTTGAAATGAGGACTTCATTCTGTTTGAAACTAATTTTGTTTGAAGCTGAACTTAGTATTGCTCAGATTACTCCCGATCTCCTGAGAGATGTTCTTCGGAAAGTAATAAGACTATCGAACAAAATAATCTCGATTTAATCAACTCGATGAATTTTCTTTGCAAACGACATAATTTGATTTTAATTTAAAACGTTTAATTTGAATACGTAAGGCCTTAGAAAGTTTTCATTGACACTTGAGTTATTTATTTTTTATTATTTTTATTATGTTATTTTCAACAATTTATTTCCTACAATGGAAATGTTTCCAAAGAAATTAAAAATTGAAAAAGAAATCAGAAAATGATGACAGAAGAAATCAGAAAATTAAAGTTGTAAGCCGCCAAATTAATTAAATGTATGTTTAACTTTCAGCGAAAGTGAGGAAAAAAATTCATTTAAAATTCTACGATCCCGAAGAACTAAAACTTGGTTCCTAGTTTTCACGTAAGTAAATATCTGCGTTCATATTGCAAGATGAATTAGATTAAATGCTGCAGGGTACATGAAATATTTTTCTCAGAAGTTCTGCACCTCCCAAACAACTCCACGTCTATTCAGCAGCTGCTAATTGTCTAGCCTTAGGAGGCAGACCAACGCTACTGACTTTGAATGACATTTTATTAATCATTAAATTGATAAATAACACTGTCAAGTATTACTAAAATTAACCTGAAAGTAGTGCCTTAAGATTTAAGTCAACCTTAACGTTGAAAGCTTTGAGAATTGACTGATGGTTCGGATATTGTCGCCAATGCCTTTGTATGTAAAGTTCTTGTAACTACAGTCATCGTTAGTAGATAAAGGGTTGAATTATTAGGTCAAAACTGGTTCAATTGCATGTAAACGAGCAGCATGAGTGGTCGGTAAACCATTAACTCAATTTATGTATCGTATTAACCTTGCTTAAAATGAATTTGATTAAACAATAATTAAAAACTATTTAATTAAACGATAATTTAAATAATTAATTTAATTAAATGAATTAAATAAATTAATCAGTTATTTATATTAATTAATTAGATTAATTTAATTAATTAAAGTAAACAATTATGTTTACTTTATCGATTCATGTTTACTTTATCTTTATCTTTATATATTACCGTCGATGGCTTCGGACTCCAGAATTTTCAAACGGTCCTATCAGAGGAACTCAAGTTTCGGTACAGAAGTTAAAGTCTGGGTTCAAAACTCTGAAGGAAAATTGGTATTCACTGTTAAAATGGAGTAAGGGTTCTAAAAATTAAAGAAATAACTGTTGCGAACAAAATAAACGACTAAGCAAGAACAGAAAATATACATTATCAATGCTTACTTAGCTGAATTTCTATCTCAAAACGTGAGTTCAACGATGACCAAACACCTCAGCTAAACATATAGCATTGGATTGCGGTTGGTAAATAAATTTTCTGTGTATACAGTATCCTTGAAATTGTTAAATTTTCCAAATTTATGACAAAAGTTAAAAGGCCAATTAAAAACGCGTCATAAATACGTCATGAACACGTCATGAACACGTCATGAACACGTCATGAACACGTCATGAACACGTCATGAACACGTCATGAATACGCCATGAACACGTCATGAACGTGTCATGAACACGTTATGGTCAAGCAATGAGCACATTGGCATGCGTTTGCTGCCAAAACATTGTGCATGGTTCATAAATAATAACTTACTTTAATAAAAATTTTGGTTTTGTTTGCAGACAACGCGACAACTGTGGCGTGCGAGGTTTACATCCGGAGTTTCGGATCCATCGACCCGAGTTCCATGGTCAGATTTTAGATCCCAGCTCTGTGCGCCAGTTTCTTGTCAGAATCGGCGAGGAGGCCGGGCGGTTAAGCACAGCAGAATTGTAGCAGTGAGCTGTGAGTTTGAGACCGCAACAAGCTGTGATTTTTTGTAATGTTAAGAATCGGCGACAGACCAACGGCCCTATAAATTCTGAAACCGCTAAACCGCTATATATGACCTATAATTAACTAATAAGCATAATAATTGGTGATACCTCTTCAAGTTTAATATTTTTCTCGAGTTAAAACTATGGCTCCTCAAAATGCTGTTTTTTTCTGGTACTGTAATTGGAAAATTTCGGACAAATAATAAAAAAGTATAAATTGATACAAAATCTAGTAGGCGATTCAAATTTCATGTCGTTATTGTAGTTGGCGAAACAAACTTGTTCAAATAAATAACTTTTTCAACTAAATTTTCAAATTATTTACATTTTTAAAGTTTTATGGAATTGAAACAGAAAAACACATAAAACCGCAATAAACTTCACAAATATAATTTCAGCTATCGCTCTCAATTGATTTACCATTTTTAGATAAAATCATGAAATGACCACGGAAAGGGTGTGCCGTATTCCAGTAACGATGCAATAGATCGAATCGTTATATTAATGATTGAAAAAACATAATAGTTAGCAGCAATAACGCCTAAATTGCCACTTATGTTATTCTGTATGTTTCTGTGTTCCTGATAATTATTGTTCAGGTTTGATTACGAAATCACTGTAGCGTTAAAATTGATTCAGCACTGAAGAGACGCTTGGACTCTTGATGAATGCCCACCACAGTACGATAGAACTATGATCAAATTTATACCAATATGGAAACAAATGTAAAAGTTTCGAATCAATTAATCCAATCCTGCACTCCAGGGAATGCTCATTACCAAAGCAATTTCAACAGATGGTGACGCTATTATGACATTAATTTAGGGAATATCCGTAAATTATGCAGATTGTAACATCGCGGCTCAGATGGCACAAGCAATCACGTTTGTGCGCCGCGTTAAAACTAATGATAATTTCTTTGCTTATTGCAGCTGGAAATGTCAGCCTCGTAAAGAAATTGCGTGCCTAGACATTATGCGTCATTGCAGGACTGCTAGAAAAATAGCTTCCTCGTTTTCATGGAATATTTTTTTTTGAGCAAATTAATGACTTTTTTCGTTCAGATACATTTAAAAAGTTATCTATTAACGATTTTCATTGTTATTTTCTAGTTTTAGGGTGACTATAGATACAAGACTGCTGCAATTTATTATTGTGTCACAAATTATAGGATTATTATACTTGGTGAACAATTAAAGTGCAATGTTGCACCATCTAAAAGGGTAAAAAATCTTAATAAAAAATCATGAAGAATACAAAAGTTTCATGTAATGTGTAGTGAATACAAGTAGCGACCAATTTACCGATATTATTTTAGGAAATTCAATATAGTAAGCTTCATTTTATGCATGTGCCTTTGTTAACCCAACAGTTCACGAAATGGAAGTCGAACGTATTGCGACCTTCAGTACAAATCCGTAAATTATAAAAAATTAAATTAAATTTACAATTTTTTAAATTAAAATTTCCGAAAATAACATTTCCATTCCTCCGAATCACCTTCGAATATTTAACAATAGAACGAAATGCTTATCTTCACGAAACAAGAGAGTCATAGCAATAATATCTGACTTACGTCTGGCAGACTGAAAATAATCTTGGAATAAGAGTGCTATTAAAACTTCACATTTCACTCATATTTCAATGCATGACTGGTTCGGTGACTGGACCTTGGACTTAATTTCTGTAACTTGTTCTTTCCATCTATTTTACTCTATCGAATTTCAATGCATTGATCTACCTCCCATCATTCCCTTCAGGACTACCAAGTGGACTTGTACCTGCGGCAGACGTGGTACGATGCGCGACTGAAACACGAAGATCTCGTCCAGCCGCTGGACTTGAACGACCCGAACTTGGTGAAGGCGATCTGGAAGCCTGAGGTGTATTTCCCCAACGCTAAAGATGCTGATTTTCAGTTCGTGACCGTGCCGAACGTGCTTGTTAGGATCAACCCGCACGGCGAGATCCTCTACATGCTCAGGTGACGATTGAATTTTATTGATGGCATTCAGTTTAGGGATAACCATGTAGTCCGTATGTTGAGTTCATGTAATCGGCATATTAAGTTCATCTGGAACGCAAAGTTATTTGGATATGTTTGATTTTACACTCACTACCTTCCATAAGACCAATGCTTGTAAAATCTCAATTCAGTCAACAGATAAATCAGACCCAAATTTATTAAAAAGTATATGTTTTTTAATATATACACCCGCCTGCAGCATCTTACGTTCCAAATGAAGTTAGTACATGCCTGGAAATGCTATTCGATCTGCTAATCTTTGACATGCTCTGCAAATATGTGTGATTAAATTTTCATGCTTCATCACAAGATTAAACTTATTTTACTACATTGAGCATTAACACCCCTTATTTAAATTTAGAGCTATCTCAACGCTGATTCATGGTTGATGTTGACTAGACCAGTATTGAATTAGCAACCCATTGTCGGCTTTTTCTCTTAGCAAAGCAGACCTCTTTCAGAATTATGGGAATTCTGGGGCGCCCGGTTGGAGTATCAAACAAACCATCTTGGTTCGTTTGATACTCGTCTTCTTTGGCCGAGCCTTACCTAACCTGAAATCTGACGGGGGGTTAGGATAAGATGCTGAAACGTATGCGCTCAATACCTTAAGCCTGTTGCTTCTTGCTTAGTCGAAGGATAATGAAATGTTTATCAGGAAACTAAGAAATAATAAACTTAACAACAGCAGGAGACTAGAATATTGTCATTATACAATATACGGAGGATTCTGCATACCATTACGCGTTAGTACTGCAACAGGAGCAAGGTGTGTCACTAACCAATCAACTATATCGTCCACGAGTGGAATGATTGCTAAATATAGAGCCGAGGAAGGAAAATAACAATTATTTGAACATCGTGCGTAATTAAAGACACTACTTTTCCATAAAATTAAATGTTTTAAAAACCGAAAATGTATTAGATTTTAAAGTCTTCTTCATCTCCAATGATGATTACGTATATGCTGAACTTGCGATCGTTTCGTTTCCGAAATAATAAAATTATCTATTTTTCAATTCAGCAATTTTTCATCTTTAAGAATAAGGTATTAGCAGCTTTCTTCACAGCGATTGCGATGGAGTAGTTCAACATGAGAGAGTTGGCACTGCGCGTTTCGTAACTCCTTAACTCGGTCTGTGCTGCAGCGTTCAATAACGTTTGTAGTTACTGCTTGCTCGAGAAAATTTCAACCCGTTTCTGCTAAATACTTGACCAGTTTGAACAGCATTTTTAGATTTAGTTTGTTTCTCGGGTCTTGGTCTTTATTTCTCATAGAATGAGAGAGCAACAGTCAATAGTATTTAGAAAAGTGACTCGGAGTGGAGACTGGACAAGCAGAATACGCAAGCTGAAATCATGAAATTGCTTCTCGGTAGATGCGTTGCGATGACGCAATGACATAAATGATTTTTCCGTAGAAATACTGGCCGTAACTGTTGGCATTAAACATATACTAATTGATAGAATTGAGTATTTACGAGTGTTGAAACTGAAGTTTCAACCGATGGTTTGGTGGAGTGCTTATTGCTTGTTTATACCTATAACATCGAGGTTGTGAGCATTTTAATAATCATGTGGGGTGAAGATTAAAGCTTAAATTTATATATTCTTGCAGTTTTTCCTACAATACTTATAAATAATATCATGGAAATTTTGCAGGTTTGGGATGAATATCTAGCCCACTTCCAAGTTTTAATTGAATTTCTGTTGAGGCGGAGCCTGAGTTTTCGTTACGGGGGGAACTTCAGAAGTCGAAAGAAAGCTGAATTTAAATTCAAGTTAGCATTTTGTGTTAGTCAAGTAATTTAGAAAAATGTAACTTTTCGGGTTGATTTCATGATTGCGTTATGTTTTGTGCTTACATTTCACACTAAAGTTCTGCAATATCTGAAATGTAAAAAATTTTCGTGTGAGATTTTTCGACTAGTATTATTGTGACCCTGTCAATTTCGGCTCTACGGAGTCATTAATTCATCTCATATTCGCGCAACTCCTTTGTTATAAGTAACTTCGCTGCTTAATTTTTTATACGAATGCCAGATCAGTTACAGTGCAGTTAAAAACTAACCGCGATGTTTTAACTAACATCAAATATTATTTACACATCGAACTTAAATTTACTATTTACATGTTTTGATTTTTAAATACACAACTGCGAATGTTTCTAAGAAAGAAAGCAATTCTCTGCGCTCCGATGAGGTTAAAAGATCAGTCCAGCTTTTACCAACAAGTTACAGTGTCTCTGACACAGTTACTGTAACGACGCCAGAGCTCTCTGGTTGCCCCCCGACATTGCCCTCAGAAACCATCTTTCTAAATGAGAGAAATGCGAGCCACTGTCGAGTGCACGGAACTCGTCCTGTTCTTTGGGAAAAAGTCCAGACTTTCAGGAGCCTTTGGATGGTCCATGGAGCGACAAATTGTGTTCCCCTACAAGCATGGGCAGAAGATTCCAGTTGGAAATGAGGCAATTTTCCATGCAGTTAACGATAAATGAATGCTGTGGCAATAAGACTTCAAATTTATGTGTAGGAGTTAGGCACTCTTAATAAATCGTAGGAAATACATTATTCGAAAATAAAAGGTAAACTGGTTAGGCCGTACCAAAATAATTATGTCTCATAAGTACCGTAGCTCATACTTAATAAAGATTTTACTTATTTTCTTGACAAGGCTTCGCAAAACATTTGTTTCAAAGTCATTGAAGTATCTACGAAAATCACGCGTGCAAATAATAAGTACACATTGTCTATTTTTGTTAAATTTCTCACATGATTAAGAATTAAAGAGGGATCTTTGCGTGAACGTTACTACAAATTCTTGATGCTTTTGCGTCATCTGTAAAAAATTATCCGAAGTTTACAGCTGAGTGATATTCTTTAGCTGACCTAGGCAGTTGAATTAAACTCATAAACACTCAATGTACATAATTAAGGTGAATTTCAAAAAATCGCTTGAACGGCACTTTGCTGTTTTACTTTATTGTTTTTTTTTGGGCATTCATTGAGTGAAAAAAGGAAAAATATTATGCAACTCTTTCGTTATTGTGGTAATAGAAATGATCAACATAAAAAGAAAAGGTAAGCAAATACAAATTTCCCTGGAAAAGTTAATATATATAATTTGTGCATATTCAGTTATTACAAATTAAAGTAACACATTTTTTTCATGATTGTGAAAAGCTTACATTTTAGAAAGGAATGAAAATTTTTGCTTTGTATAGATATAAATTTAATAATGATAAGTATTGCTTAAAATATATAAAATTATCCTATATTTTATCATTGGAAATAATATGTTCTTGTGGAAGTTAAAATCATTTCAACATATGACAGTTCACAGCATATCTAAGTTAAAAGCTGCGCAATTAAACGTCAATGTCGAGTTATCAATGATGGAGCTTCATCTATGTCATCATTACATGTTGACAATGAATATTCATGCAATGCAGTTAGTTAAATGTTGAAAATAAGCATACATTAAATTAAGTACATTTTTATTGACAATAAACACGCTTGCAATTAACACTGATTTTCATGTTGACAATAAACACCCATGTGATGAAGTTAATTTATGTTGACAATGAACATGCATGCAGTGAAGCTGATTTTATGTCGACAGAGAACATGCTTGCAATAAAGCTGATTTATGACGACATTAAACATACATGCAATTAACTTATTTTCATTTGTCAATCAACAAGTAGCGAAAGAATAATATCCCTTCTTTACAGGTTGAAGCTCACTTTTGCCTGCATGATGGAGCTCTCCAAGTTTCCTTTGGACACTCAAGTCTGCACCATAGAAATCGCAAGCTGTAAGTCAATATTAATTGTTTTATTTTATCTCCCAATGATTTCATTACACGCACGCAAAATTAAATTTTTACAGAGAATTTCCCCTGCAATTTTTTTATTGTACATACTTTATTTTATCCGTCCAAGACATGCTACAAATTTTTTGAAGTTTAGATGAGTAATTCCGGTTCATGGGATAACTGATATAAATCCCCGCGACGCCATAAGAGCTTCTATAGAAGCGACTGGATTAAAACTTGAAACCGAAGTTTGCTCGAAAGAGGATTTGGACACTGATTTGGATTTTCCGTACTGAAAGGCTTGCAAAAATTTAGCCAATGTGAAATGGTTAAAAACATGTTTTTTAAAGGGTAAAAAACATTTTAATATAAAAACACATTTTTCGGGCATGATATGTATATAAATGCACGATGAATATAGAAAATAGCTATAAGTTAATTTAAGTTTATTTGCACATATATGAATATTTTGCATTGATCCTTTAGTCATCATAACTGACGATAATTAACTACGTTTTCAGGAGAGTTTCAGTTTCAACATGATCGAAATTCATTTCTGGCTCAAATATTTTGGGCAATATATTCCGATTACAGGATGAATCCTAATAAAAAAATTCAACTCTAAACTGCATTCGAATTTAAGTTCGATTAGTTGAAAAGAACAATCAAGCTTTGCATCCTATTAAGCTCATTCTATTTGCATTCTACTCTTGTTTAGGCTCGCAATTTTAAACACGTGTTGTGAGGCTGAACATTCGATTGATCCACAAAGTACGTTAAAAAACTATGGAATAAATGAATGATTTTTTTATTTAAAGTGGTGAATTATCTATCATTATTACATTATGCACCGAATTTTCTTTTTTGTTTGAAACTAACTTACGGGACGATCAAGGACTTGATTTTATATTGATAGCAACGAATAATAGACTGGAAACTAAAGGTTGTTTATCTGACCGAACCAAGCTGGAAAAAGCCATGCCTGAGACTATCCTCTTTCAAGCCAGCTCATTGCCATATCTCAAAAAGAATTTGAAAAAAATTAATTAATTTGAGGGTTTGTAGGCAATGAGAAAATTATTAAATTGATTATTAATCACTCTTTAATAAATTATTGAGTATATTTCTATCGTGTAGCGCCAGTGTTCAACAGAAAACCTGAAAAAAAAACAATAAATATTTTTTCTTGAGTTATCGTCTGAAATTCACCAGTAGTAAGCATGTGCTTCGAAAACTCAGTGATGTAAAGCAAATGTTCAGTTGAGCAAAAAGATGGCTCAGTTACATTCAAGGAATTTATGGCCTTTCAGTTTATTTCCTCTCGTGAATGATGTTCCAGTTAATTTACATTATTTACGAGCTGTTAGATATCCCGGTGCACCTCAGCTGTCAGTGAATAATGCTTCTGTAAATTATTCTCGACAAACGCGGTTCTACTCCTTATTTTTTGAACTGTTGCAAAGGTTGTAAGCAGCACCAAAAATTAGTTGCGGCTGGTTGGAATTATTCATAAATGGCAGATTTAAAAGTTATGAATAATAATTTATTGATTGCTGGAGGAAGGTAATGATGAAAAATATTTTGTTTCAGTTTCAAAGACGATGCAGGAGTGTTTCTGGAGGAAGGAACGATGGATTTTTTTAGTTTAAGAGACGATGCAAGGAGTGTTGCTGTTGGAAGGAATGATGAAAAAAATTTGTTTCAGTTTCAAAGACGATGCAGAAGTGTTGCTGGGGGAAGGAATGATGAAACTATTTTGTTTTAGTTTCAATGACGATGCAGGAGTGTTGCTGGAGGAAGGAATGATAAAAATATTTTGTTTCACTTTCAGAGAATATGCAGAAGTGCTGCTGACGTGCTATTTTCAATGATGAAAATTTTTTGTTTCAGTTTCAAAGACGATGCAGGAGTGTTGCTGGGTGAATGAATGCTGAAAATATTTAGTTTCAGTTTCAGAGAATATGCAAGAGTGTTGCTGAGATGCTATTTTCAATGATGAAAATATTTTGTTTCAGTTTCAAAGACGATGCAGGAGCTGGTGCTGCAGTGGAAGCTCACCAAGGAGCCCATTAAGATGCACAAAGACCTTCGCATGCCTCAGTTTCAAATGCAAGACATCGTAGCCACCACCTGTCAAGAAGCCTCACAAATCGGTAAGCATTTCTATGCGTTTGTTGTTAATGTTCTACTATGATACTAATATACTATTAATTGACTTTAAAGAAATGGGATTTTTTGGTTATTTATTTACTCTTACAAATCATATTGTGACGGTAAAGATAACTCTTCAAAAATTCAATACCTTTTGAAACGCTTTTTTGTTAGAAACTTTCAATACAATTCAAATCTTTCTAATTTTCAAAACATAGGCAATTTTAATGCCTAAAAAATTCTATGTTCCGTTCATCTGTCTTGGGAACTTTATGGAAAACTCCTGGCGTCCTTTTTAGCTTAGGCTTCGCTGATAATCTTCTTGTATCCAATTTAGTGCCACCAGCTTAGCATAAACATTGGAAAACTTTACATTCAAGTTGCGGCTAGGATACTGAAGTGAAATCCGCTTCTTATTATGCATGAAGAAGCAGTCTTCTACCGTTACAATTGCTGAATATTGATGAAATGCTTGCTTCTGTTGGCGAATGTTCGCGAGATGGGTGATTGTGCTGCCGAATGTCGATAAATGGTTTATTGTGCTGCCAAATGTTTATTAAATAGCTTATTATGCTGCCGAATGTTTATTAAATAGTTTATTGTGTTGATGAATGTTGAATAAATGGTTTATTGCGTTGCCGGATGTTGATTAAATGGTTTATTGTGCTGCCGAATGTTTATTACATAGTTTATTGTGGAGCCAAATGTTTATTAAATAGTTTATTGTGCTGCCGAATTTAGATTAAATGATTGATTGTGTTGCCGAAGGTTTACGTGAGGGTTGATTGTGTTGCCGAATGTTGATTAAAAGGTTTATTGTGTTGCTGAATGTTGATTAAATGATTTTTTGTGCTGCCGAAAGTTGATTAAATGGTTTATTGTGTTGCCGAATTTTTACGAGATGGTTGATTGTGCTGCCGAATGTGGATTAAATGATTGATTGTGTTGCCGAATGTTCACGTGAAGGTTGATTCTGGTGCCAAATGTTAATTAAATAGTTTATTTTCTTGCAGCATTTTAATGAGGTGGTTGATTGAGTTGCCGGATATTGATTAAACAGTGGATTTTCTTGCCGTTAACGAGATGTTTGATTGTGTTGCCGAATGTTCATATGGTTGTTGATTTTATTGTCGATTGTTCATTTGATTGTTGACTCTATTTTAATTAATTATCGTATCGGAATTTTATTGGGCTGTTAGACTTTCATGGTAAATATCTTTGTGTTGATCAACAATTCTATATTGAAGCATCAATATAATAAATATAATTCTTTTCAAAATGTTCACCGGGTGATTCAGTCTATCGTCTGATGATGTTTCGGTGATGATATTGGGTTTTCATGCGTCCAATGTCACGCAAAGATTAATTAAATTGATTAATATTATCGTAATTATCTTTTCCAATATCTAAGGGATAAAAATTCCCGGTAGCGCCAATCATTGAAACAATGATCCCTATTCTATCGAATAAATTTCTTATGTGATTCTCAGTAAGTGGACAAGTAGAATCCAATCATTAAATTAGTCTTCAACTTTACGTTTTAATCTCCTTCAGTTTCCCACCCCTGGAGCACAGCATTTAATTGTTTTTCAGACAGATTTCTCATCACATCAGTCAGACATCATATTAGTTTTTCGAATGACATCTGTTCAAAATTGAGCTGCATTACTGTTTTTTTGTAGTCGACTGCAGTCATTTACACCGTACGAAGATATTTATGGAGTAGAGAAAATAACGAGTGAGTGGGTGTCCTGATCGTTCATGTTAGGCAGGAAAGAAAGCGCAAAGCGGTGGTCCTTAATTTTTTGTATTGAAAGAGCACACGACGTCGAGGGAAACCTTTTTAACTCACGTTAATAGCAGAGCTTATCTATCAAAGTAATTTATTTGCCACCCGATGTAAACACGAATTATATCATTTGAAAATCCATAAAATTTTTAAGATTTTGTGGATTCCTTTCTATTTATCCGCGAAGATGCTGTGCAAGAGACGCTGGCAGTTATATTGAACAGATGCTGTTATATTTTATTGAAAGATATGCTAGCAACCTAGAGCGCCAGAATGCATCGCGGTGAGAGAAACTGTCGACTGGTGGCGGTCACAACAAACGGATCCTAATGTTCGATTAACATGACTCAATTGTTTGTAATATAGTTCAATCACGCGATTCTAGGGCCATCATGACAAGAGAGACTGTGTGCTTAGTTTATAAGTCCTATAAAACTTTATTACTCATCTTCCCCAAAATTTATTTCATTGGGGATTTTCATGTGTTTCAGGAAACTACAGTTGTCTGGTGGCTGAATTTCACCTGCAACGATCGGTGGGATTCCATCTGGTGCAATCGTACCTGCCTACGATCCTAATCGTGGCCATCTCCTGGGTCAGCTTCTGGATGGACGTGGACTCTGTACCTGGCCGTACAACTCTGGGAGTGACCACCCTGCTTACCGTGTCCACCAAGTCTTCAGGTGAGTGACCACCCTGCTTACAGTGTCCACCAAGTCCTCAGGTGACTGACCACCCATACAGTGTCCACCAAGTTTTCTGGCCAGCAACCAAGTTTAGGGTCCTCAGTTCAGATCACCTTTCCAACACCCTTCTGTTGTCGGGTGGACTAAATTCTTTGACTAAGCCCTTCAATAATTTATATGCTTCAAACTATTGTGAAAGTGCCTTAAACGTGTAACCCAAGACTTATGAAAATGTTTATTTCTGACAAGGTTATTGGTTTTAAGTTGGCCTAATAACTCTTCTTCCACAGTTATTGAAAGCTTATTTTTTTTCTACTTCTCCTCTTTTCTATAGCAGACAAGGTTCCCTAATTCATAAAGCTGAAAACGAATGCGTACTCATTCAGCTGATTGGTTATTCTCCCACATAAAGCTGATCAGGATTTCTTACTCATTCAGTTGATGAGATTTTCTTACTCATACAACTGAAAAATATTTCCTACTCTAGCAGCTGTTGACGCTTTCTGTCTTTTTCAGTGCTCGAATTTTCAGAATAGAAAACGACAATCGTATTTATGAAATTATTAATAAAGATTTTTATGTAATAATTCACACTGAGGAAATAATAATTAATAACCTCCCTGAAATAATCAGTCTCCCAACATCCCCACAACACACCCCCTTGCCAGCCACACCGAAGTGAACAAGACAGCAGCAAATGAGATTGCCTCTCAATGCCCCAGCGGGAGCCATGGGTAACAAAAGAAAACTGATTTGCGCAGCAGCAAGGACTTCACTTATGGCTTGTGATAGAATGTTCATATGGATAGTTACTGTGATAATAAAGTGTGTTAGGTGCGTGGATATGTTCATAGGGATAGATATTTTGTAACAGTAACAGTATTGTAGTATTGTAACAGTAACATTGACCAATTATTCGCGTGAAAAATCTTAAAGGATTTTTTATATCTGATACCCATTGAGATATGAGTGCCAATATATGCATCGCTGCTGGCTTACATAGCTTGTTGGTGATTATTTTATACATATAACTTAGTTTACCATCGGAGGCGGAAATTATAGAAATAATTATTATTAATTCTTTTATTCAACTGTTCGTAAATTTAATCATCGCATTGGTTTGAAAAGCATGAAAGGTTTATCAAGGTCAGATTAATGATCATGCATGCGCGACTTTAAATCTTAGGGAAAGGATTGAAATACTTTTAGATTTTTTTACAGTTCCGTGCTGATGCAATAACAACTAGTTTTCAATGGCGTCAAATGGACAGAATTTGCAATGAACCTTTTTTTGTGGTTCGCAGTGCCGGGAAAGTAAGAGTCCAAAAGTTTCACAGTTAGGTAAATTTGGTATTCATCAAATGAATGTAGAGATTGATTTCAATTATTATTCACAAAGATTTCATTTTTTTTTTGTATTTATTGATTTCATGGGATGATAGCTGTTTCAATAAATAATATTTTAAATGTTTAAATGTTCAAAATATCAGTTTTAAAATTTCCAACGTTGATTATAAATTTCGGTCGTGTAGTAGAATTTAGCCAATGAGTATAATTCTGTTAATGATTTTATTTTCTCTCCAGGAATTACTGTGAAATTTTTATTGAATCTTTTTTGAAGCGTATTAGCTTCCACACATATATAAAATCATTAAACTGAACAATTAATTGATATGTTAGTGAAAGTCATAATTAGAGAAAACCATCATTAAAAACCATAATTAGCAATAAAATAAATTAACCAATCGAGAAAAAATGTAACTCAGTACTCACAACAGTGAGTGACAGAGAGCGCATTTTGAAGTGAAGTGAAGTGAAGTCACGGACGGACAGACAGAAAGACGGACGGACATGACGAGTGCCTTTTGTCCATAAATGAGAAAGTGCGCTAAAAATGCTGCCGACGATCTATATTCCATCGACATCGAATAAATTTTGCTAGTCAGCACATAAACTGATAGCCACAAAACAAGAAAGTGATATTCTCAAGTCAACACACAAACTGATATGCACATTATTTTTCGAATCACAATGATAAAATTTTGTACGGGACACCAAATAATATCAAAACAAACTGTAATTTTTAATGACCCAGTGTATGGTATTACACCGTAATTCTAGTTGTAAATAACAACATTTAAACAAATTAACATAAGAAAAATTAATGATGAAAGCGACATCCGAGTACATTATTGATATTTTTTTCTTTATTACAGCCTTTGTCTTCTCTGCACTACTGGAGTTCACATTAGTGAATTATTTGTGGCGCAAAAATGCAAGTCAAATGTTACCCCATCGTCCATATTGGCGGCACCCGAACACCTCAGCGCCTCAGTGCGGGCGTCACCGGTGCTGCCACCAACCAAAATCTCCGTCAAGACAACACCGCAAACTGCACTTGGCAGAGAACAAATCCCTTAGTAATTGCAATAGACCTACTGTGGACCTACAGGATAGGAAGGAACAGCAAAACGACTTTGCAAACTCACCGAAGAAAAAATGTTTATCTGCCGCCGACATCGATGAAGGAAAGAGGGTCGGACTAAGTGACGAGACTCCGATTGATGCGGTCAAGTCCCGTGGAGTTATTCTGGTAGGCATGAGATATATGTGAAGAATATTATCTGACTTGCAAGTAACATTAAAATGTATTCAGGTAATGAGTATCGAATAAATTCTTAAAAGATATATTCTTGAATAATCAGATTACGGTATTTTAGGTTTGTTATTGACAAAAGAAATGTATTGAATACAGTTGAAGCTTTATTTGAAAATATTCAGAGTGAATTTAAATGTCTTATGTATAATTTATTTTATAATCAAGGTAAATTTTAATGCAAAATGTCTTTTCTGCTAATTTTAGAATCTCTTAGAATAGGTGCACAGTGCATGAAAAATATTTTTGGTCTTAAAACCAGCGGCTTTTCGTAATATTCGCATGCATTAAAATAAAAATCATTAGTTCACTAAATCATCTTTTATGCAAATTTGGCTCTCCAGGTAAAGGGTAGAAATTGACAATTGACAAGGGGCCGATACGTATGCTTTTGTGCTCGTAACTTTCATATTCAGATTATCTTAATTTAATATCATAATAAAAGTTTTTCCATCCATCATATCAACAATATCGTATAAACAAGGAAATATCTGGTAACCTGAGGTCCGGGGAGACTGCAATTTTTCTGTTAATGGTTCATCGAAACCGGTTTTTTTCAAGGTAACCTAAACTCCATCCGATCGTTCGAGGTCACTGTTGTGATTAATCAATTTATGTTTCCTAGAAATTTTACTGAACGAATGGCGCGCGTCTACGTGGAAATTTATTTATCGGAATGAAATCACATATTTTCTTTAATTGGCCCATGTTATATCGGATTTAATTATTCAACTGTAATCGGCATTAGGTTATAAAAAAGATGATGTTTCTCTGATATTTTTCATATTATACATCAGATTGTGCGGACTGAGCGATCATGTTCGAAAAATTTCTCCTCAGTTGTTATATAAACATTTTCTCATATATTTATTACAGTGGTATGAACCTAAGTTCATCTTAGCCACCGAAAATTTGTCTCAGCCAACTGCTGTCAGATATCATTCAGTTTTTATATCTTCTTCAGTAAAAAACAACTCAGTAACGATATGGTGTGGCCTCTCTGATTCAAATCCAGCCCTGTTATTACTTTCAGCGTAAATAAGCTCTATAATGTTTTGCAATCATGGATCATGTAATTGTATCATGGAAATATAGGGCGCGTAACTGCATTTGTATACGCTTAATAAATTTGAGATTTGAATAGTTTCACCCACACTCATGTACGCCACTTGGGCTTGCAACACACAGTAGGACAAGCGTATTTTAATCGCGGACTTAATCGATTAACGATTGTGATCGTAGTCTGACAAGATATCTTATTTTTCAGAGGCAAACATGAGAAATTGAATCAATTTTAAGAAAATATAATGAAAATAACGGCGAAAAATCAAATTGGCAGCTGATGGTTGTTGCCCAATTAGCGACGAAGTATTCACAGGGTGAATGAATTCCAAATTACTCTATAATCAGTCTTGACACTTTCTGAAGCATTATTACCAACAAAACCAAAGTAAATGACGTAGTTTTAAGAAATGTAAAAATATTTTTGTTTGATATATTATGGCATGGTGTTTCTTATCGTCTAGTTTGCATACATTGAATTTTTTCACTGACAAAGTTTCAGTACAAAATTTACATTGAAACGATGATAAAAATTAAGTGAAAATTCCTAACGGATTTTCTGCGTAAAAAATAAATGACGGTACCAAAAATTAATTGTGTATAATATTATATAAATAATGACACCAAGTTTACTGCGTAAAACTTATCGGTGACTATAGTAAATAAGATATGATGTGTAGGGCAGGAGCTGTCCGGCTTAATATTTAATTAAGTCACAGCTTGTTGGTTAGTTTTCCGAATGCCAAGAGCTGTTCACTCTATTATAAGCGCTACATTATCTACTGTATAACCTTATGTTAAAACTTCCACAGGATAACTGAAAGGATGAAGAGACGATCTCTTATTATCCTTTTATCTATTTTAATGCTATTGGAAGCATAAATCTTATGTGACGTTCTCAAAGAAAGCTGGAGACTATACATATGTTCTAAGCTCGTTCATGGTTAGTAAAGGCGCGTTTATGTGAACTTACTTATTCAATTACCATTTTTCTCAGTATTTAAAACAACCATCTTTTCCAGTGGGTTGTTGGCAATTTCTAATATTTTCAAAAGTAAAATATAAGATTAAAAGTGTCTAAACCTGATACGTGTTCAAATTCAAGCACGAATCCCAAAAGTGATGAATTCTGAAGGATTTTTCCCCCAAAATAAAAAAATTCAAAATTTTGAATCTTTGGGCACAAGGTATGTTACGCAAACACTGATCAACAAAGTGATCACGAGATAACGCTCTAACACCCCTAAGATATTTACCAATCAAGTTTCAGTTAAACGTTAATTGGAAAATTGTTACCTAATCTTATTATTGAAGCTTGTTGGTATATAATTAGTATATATATTCCAACTTGGTTTAATAACAGTTAAAAAATTAGCATAAGAATCACCGAGGAAGTATAATATTGCGTTTCGCAAGCAAATTATAGAACGTTTTACTTCTGCAAACAGTTTTCCTAAAGTGTAATTTTACTCATACTTGTGCTTCTAAATCACGGATGGATATTAGTGGATATTAAAGACAAAGCGTAAATCAGGAAAATATAACTCAGTATAATAATAATAACTCATTACTCACTGCAGTGAGTGGCAGAGAGCGCATTTCTCGTCGACGAAAACGTGAAGTCACGGACAGACAGACAGACGGACAGACGGACATGGCGAGCACAATAGTGCCTTTTTTCCATAAATGAAAAAATGCGCTAAAAAGAACAAGAACAGAAAAAATAAACCCAGCCCATGGCTAGCACTGAATTAACTGGGATAACAGAGATATGTTCTGGAATAAAAAAAACTTAAGATGCTGCATGGAATGGCTCAACCTTAATTTTTTGTAAAAAAATAACAAACCATTTATATACATCACAACACAAATCATCAATCGCGAGATGAAAATTGATGGCAATTCCAACAGAGGGAAGCAAGAGTTTGTATTTCATAGTATATATATTTGAGTTTTATGCATGTTTAATTGCAAGCATTCGAATATGTCTAATATTTTTGTACCTGCTATTTCTGCCTATATTTTCTCAACAATACAAATCAGCACGAATTTTTTCTGAAGTATGACCATATATTTTTCTCGAATTTAGTAAAATTTAGTATATTTCACTAATAAATAATTAATATTTATAATTTCATTTATTATTTAGACTAATTTTCCTGGCCATATTTCATTATATATCGTCTTTCTTCGTGCGTTGATGTTTCATTTCACCAAGCATTATGTTTCTTTCTATTAGATAATATTGATAATATTAATATCCCTTCAATCGCCTTATTCCAAGTAGGGCAAAGTTAGTCCAAGAAATAACATATATTTACTCGAGTGAAATGTTTAGATTTAAATACTCTGCGTGCAATTGGGTAATGAAAAATACGGTTTGAAAATAAGGGTAAAGCTGTATTATATATTCTCATGCTTCCTGTCATGATTTAATTCTTAAAGTATACAGCAAACAATTAACTCTTGAATACAATTATCGCTATAGGCTGAAACCCAGTCAGAAATCTAAGGCATTTTTTAACAATTTAAGAGCTGTAAGGGGCTAAACGTGCCTGCAAATTTCGACGTTTCGATTTCGACGTGTCCATTGTATCACCGCATCAAGCTATTCGAAAAACAAGAGGGCGGACACATGCTATTAAATGTCCGGAAATTAATTAACTAGTCCATACAAACCCAGTGAAAATTTACAGACGTGGCAGCTTCTGATTTGGATTACCAGAAGCTGGGGCGACTTTAAATTTTTGTTTGAGTTCTCAGTGAAAATTTACAGACGTGGCAGCTTCTGATTTGGATTACCAGAAGCTGGGGCGACTCTAAATTTTGTTAGAGAAGCTTCTTCAGAGGCGTGTTTGCACCATAAGCCTACATTTTTAATGATAAGGTGGGCTCAATTAGTTAAATTATTCATCAGCACTCTAATTCTGGGTATATAATCATATGTACAGTATTGAATACAAATTGTAGCATTTATTCCTACTTATTCAACATTGCTGCAGTAGTGCAGTAGGCTAACCACATGAGAAGCCCTAGACTAAGATATGCAATGCAACATGTAGCCTATGCATAAATAAGCGCAAGATGCCCAATACAAGTACGTGCAGATCCAAGCAATTGAATTTTTTATATGGGATTTTCAGCAGGTGTGAATTTGTTAAGAAAAGCTAGAAGCAATCCGGTAATCGTAACGAATGGCTATAACACCAAAACAAGCATTTAATTTTCTTGTTCATAATATTACCTTCTGAGATTATTTATGATTTCATTTACAATTAACTAACTTTTATTTCTAAATTAAATCACGTTTCAATAAACGAGAGTGAAAATCTAGTTCGTTTGTTTGTTTGCACTACAATGTTTGTTTGCACGACAGTGTTTGTTTGCGGAAATAATTTCTTTCAAGCGTTGGTAACTAGTAAAATGTTTGTTTGCACGACAATGTTTGTTTGCACAACAATGTTTGTATGCACAACAATGTTTGTTTGCACAACAATGTTTGTCTACTATACACAGTCCAAACATTGTGTAAACAAAGCACATGAATGTCTTCGAAATCCTAGAATAATTTATTTCAATTCTGCTCGAAGTAAATGTATAATTCGGGACCATCAGTGTTAAATATTCAGTCAGGAACTGGAAAAATTTGTGAGCATAACTTTCGAAATTACAATATGAGCTGAATATTTTAGGATCTTTCCAGATTTTTACAAATTTATGTTAAAAAGAATTTGCGTGCCAGCTGAAAACGACGTATTGAATTTGAATAGTTAATCATCAATTTACAACACATTTCACTTATTCAGATCTAAAGCTAGAGATGCTGTCCATATATTTTTATCATATGTGAATGATAGAAAGCTATATATTTAATATAATTGGAGCCTTTTTTTAATAAGAAGCGAAACGGGCCGAAGAGGAGCTGGTTTGGTTATTCGGATGGCATACGAACACGGTTATTTTAACAGTGGTCTTCTGTACGGGAGGGTATCACGTTTTTATACACTCATACATATTTTTTTTTCTACAGACAACAGTTAAATTACTATCCTATTGTACAACTAAACATAGAAGAACCCTTTAAATTTTTTAAATAATCGCGAAATGAAATATACTATAGTTTAAATATAGTACGACAACGTTTACCTCAGTCCTGTGTACTCAATATTTTCTCCTAATTCGATTACAAGCCTGCTTGAGCGGGATGGCATGCGAAATATTTCTCATGCATAAAGAATTTCCAATTATAAAATGCAAATATTTATTCATTGGAAAACCATGCGTATTTTAATAAGGCGCACTATTGTATGAAATTGTTTTATTTGAAAAGATCAAAATTTTTTGAAATGCTTTGCTCTGAACGCGAATCTTTACAATATTGAAGTTAAGTGACACTAGATTTTGTTCTCAAGTGAAAACTTGTGAAAATTTCAGCAAAAATTGGGCGGAATTTCAGTTTGGGTGGAATTTCAGAAGTTTGTACATGCATGGAGGCCCATTTGTGTATTAATAATGAAAAGACCAATTTCTTGATATAGGTTTCAATCTTCCACGTTGTAAATGCCAGCTTTTCCCACTTTTATGAACGCTAGCCTCTTCTACTCATTTGATTGATGCTTTATTCCACTTGTATAAATGCAATTTTTTGCAACTGTCATTAGAGTTAATTTTTTTATTTGTCGCATGACGTAAATCATTACATAAGGAAACATTTTCTTAACCGCTAACAGGATAATCAAGCGTTGGTAACTAGTAAAATTGGTAACATGAAATAATGAGTTAATGGTTTTTTATTGGGTTGATTTTCTCAACACCGATTCTATTTCAACACTGAAGGGTGCGTAACTTCGGAGGCTAAAGGTGTTTCAGGACAATTATTTTACGATCAATGCAACTGAAGTACATTAATTTAGTACCATCAATAGATGTAGGAGCATGTAGTTATTTCTTGGCTCATTTGCGTTTTATATTTTAATAAACTCATCACATGAAAAATCTGTGCTTTACGTGATGGATGCATATTGCATCCATCACGTAAAGCACAGATGTTGCACCTACAGAAGCACAGATGTTGCACCTACCATTTCATTGCATCATGCAATGAAATGGTAGGTGCAACATTTTAAACTAATTGCTTAACGGATCGTTTAGAAGAGATTTTCATTTTTCTTTACACTACGGCGTAAACTTTGCTTCAATTATATAAATAATAATTAAATAAATAATAATTTCTATACACACGGATGGGCTTGAGATATTAAATTATAATAGTTGTGGCAATTAGAATAGTTGTGTCAAGATAAAATTTTACTCATGGCTATCGAGGGTCTAATTTCCAAATGATAAGTCTTTTTGGTGTCTCGTAATCCCGCCAGTAAGAAAAAGCCATGCATTCATTCTAATAAAGGAAATAATAACTCCAGTAGAAGGCGTTGAAGATCGCGAAGCTGAGTGGGAAGAGGATGCGGCAGTGCGAATCAATGGCGAGAGCGAGATCCTTGGAGGAGTTGGTGCTAACGTTGGCTAGCAGATGAGGCGCCAGCAGCGATATGTCATTTACCATGGGCACTCGTCCGCTCACGTGCTGTAAGGGTAACTCAATTAATTATATTGCAGATGAGGTGCCAGCAGCGATAGGTCATTTACCATGGGCACTCGTCCGCTCACGTGCTGTAAGGGTAACTTAATTAATTACATTACAGATGAGGTGTCAGCATCGATAGGTCATTTACCATGGGCACTCGTCCGCTCACGTGCTGTAAGGGTAACTTAATTAATTACATTGCAGATGGGACGCCGGCATCTATAGGCCATTTACCATAGGCACTCGTCCACTCACGTGATGTAAGGGTAACTTAATTAGTTACATTACAGATGGAGCGCCAGCATCGATAGGTCATTTACCATGGGCACTTTTCCGCTCACGAGATGTAAGGGTAACTTAATTAATTACAGTACAGATGGGACGCCGTCATCTATTGACCATTAATGGGACATTAATTACAGTCAATGGCGATTGATCAGAACACATCAGGGTGCTGTCCTTTTGGACATATAAATTTTTTTATCATATTGTATATGAATTATCAAACGAAACTGTTTTCGCTGACTATGATTCTGTTTTGATATGAGGGTGAGAAGGAAGAAAATCAGTCAGAGTTATTGTAAATAGCTGCTAATTATAAGATAGTTTTTCTTCCATACCATGAAAAGAAAAAAAAATATCGGCAGGTTCTCGTAAGCGTGCGACATGTACAGAAGTTAATTGAAAAATTTTCGCTTTACACTTATAACATAAACAAAAATTAATCTTTCGAATAACTTGCGTAGGTCGCTGATACAGTAAAATTGTTAAAGCGTAACGACACACTAAGCAAGAGTAAGTTCCATTAAGTATGCTGTAAATATAGTTTATTTGTAGATAGACAGAATCTGATGAAGGAACATCTAATTTATCCTGCAAGTATGCGTCAGTTTGCCAATGGAAAATGTTGTTTATTCTTTATCAGACATACTTTTCGGTACCAGTCACTATTGTCAATTAAATTTATGAAACTTAAGAAGATAGTGGCAAGGAAATTTTTGTCGAGCTCGAAAACAAGGATTTACATAACAGATATGCCATTCGAAAACTGATATCACATGCATAAAATAGTAAAAACTACCTACATGGTAACCAAATCCACTGTACTCACCAGGAGAATTTGAAATAATGTTCACAAATGCACGGCGAAGAATTCTACGACCACTCAGATTCCAATTTTACTAATAAATTTTTGACTGTAATCTGAATTTTTACCTCATCAACAGACGTCATTTGGCATCAACCGACGTGGTTGCCAAAGGCTTAGAACCCATTTGGATAAACTAAAAAAATTTTGATGACAGCACAGCGATGGGTTCCATGACAACTTCCAAACCCATGTTACAAATAATTTATTTTACTACAATCCGAAATTTTACCCCAGTTGACATCAACCGACGTCGGCCTCAAAGGCTAAGAACAAACCGTGATGTTCCCTGGCGGGACGGCGAAGAGATTGGGGTCCGTGCCCTGGTCGAGCTCAGCCTTGCCGTTGCTGTTGGAGCATTGCTGGCAGTCTTTCTGGAGGTGTTGGTCGGCCTTACGCACTCACGCCGAACAGTGCAACGTTCCGGTGTCCGACACTGACTTTAAGGTTTTAGCTTCTATTTCTGGTGCTTCCAATCTGCGCATTTTGGAATAATTGTATATTTTTAAAGAGAAGCCTAGTTTAAATGCTGCCTACAGTTCTTATCCATTTGAAATTGTGAATAGATAGGTATTTCTTTATTATTCTGCCCTCTGCCTGTAAATTTAGGTTTTAACTTCTGTTGCTTTTGTTTTTTTTTCTTATGACTCCAAATTTTATTAATTTTTTGACTGTATTTGTGTTCTAGATTTATCGAACTGACGATGGAGCTTGTCTCCAAAACGTTTCAATAGAGAAATGCTGAATTTTTGAGGAGTTTTTTTTTCGCTTTTAAATTTCTAGTGAAAAATTTCCATGACAGTACAGCGAAGGGTTCCATGACCACTTCCAAACCCATGTTACAAATAATTTGCTTTACTACAGTTCGAAATTTTACCCCGGTTGACATCAACCAACGTTGGCCTCAAAGGCAAAGAACAAACCGTGATGTTCCCTGGCGGGACGGCGAAGAGATTGGGGTCCATGCCCTGGTCGAGATCAGCCTTGCCGTTGCTGTTGGAGCATTGCTGGCAGTCTTTCTGTAGGTGTTGGTCAGTCTTGCAGTCGTGGGTTAGATCTTGTGCTTTGATGTTCCTAAGGCCGTCCATGGATTTGGGCGCCTGCACCTTAGGGGGCTTCCTCCACATGTAGTTGGCCAGGGTGAACTCCAGAAGAGCACAGAACACGAAAGCTGCAGATAAAAAGCTTGATGGTTACATGAAAACTAAGCATATTTGATTCATGGCAGATAACTAACGGCCGAAGAGTTTCCTACTACCCGAAAATTTTCTTATTGAAAAACTCCAATAACCTATGCTCCGATTTGATGCAGACAAAAAAATTTGCATTATTTTTCGAAAATACACATTCAGCTGAAAAATTGGATCAAATTATATCGGTTGTTAAACGTCCCTGCTTAAACTAATTTGATCACAGAAGTAACCAATAATAATAATGATAATCGAAACAAAATAATTTCCGCAAAGAGGTGTCAATTAAAGTGATGATTTGGAGCATGTAGCAAAAATCCACAAGACTTGTTAGGAGGCACCTGATTGATACCGGCCGTCATCTGAGGTATTTTATTGTGTCAAAATTACGTGTCAGAGCTCAAATACTCACGACAAAATGATTAAAAAATATGCGACACTATTTTTTTCCTTTGCGGAATAGGCAACTGATTTTCTTACCAAGTTATATTATTTGCGTAAATGTGTGTTTATGAGGCGATACGGTATGTCAGTTATGAAATTTTGATAATGTAAAAAATGAAACGTTGTGACTCCATTTTTTGAAAAAGAGTTTTAGTTAATATTTTAATGGAGTTTTGGACTCACACAGGATTTGATCAGAGCCAAGGAAATGGTGAATTATAAATCCTTTTCATTGAAGATCAAATAATGCAATCCCTATTATAATGAACAATTGATTCATGAAACTTAATTAGTTATATTATTTTCCTCATTATTACTGATTGGAAAATTGTCTTATTCTGCAGCCATCAAATAGAAAATTTTTATTGGCATGATTATTATTTCCATCGTTGCTTTTGAAATATTTGACGAAATAGATTACAAAAAAATTCGTGGAAATATGCCCGATATAAAGCTAATAATTGCTTTTGTCATAAAATTTATTATTTATGTATAATATCTATCAATCATTTAAATATTGGTGTTATTATTGTCATTTATAGTAATATCTTGATAAATTATCTATCATTAAGTTTATAATACACAGAATTTAATTTAACCATGACCAAAATGATGTGTTGTTGACATAATAGCATCGCCAATGAGATCTTTTATCTTTCAGCTGGCAGAGCTCGAAGATAAATAAGACGACCCGAGTTCTCTCTAATGAAATTTGCTAATAGACTTTAATAAGTAGAAAATTAGTGTAACTAGGTCATTTGTTAGTGTAAGACGCGAGTTCAGAGAAACGCGATGAACACGAGGCAAATGCAACGTGCTCAAACTCGCTGCCAAATCACAGCTCGCTGCGCAGAGTTTCTCGCTTTCATTTAAATCCAAAATTCAGTAGCAGTGTGAATTTGCAGGTCGTTTTGCTGGAGTAGATCGCCGTGTACGACTTGAAACAGCCTAATTGCTTTCTGCTGCTGGCATATCCTAGAATATCACAGTTTCCAAGCGAGTGTTCGGGGATGGAATACTGGAGTAACTTTGGAGCATTCACCGTTGATGATGTTCGGAGGGAACGCCACAGGTTAAAAACATTTAACGTAAAACAAATTGAAATAATGATGTTTTATAACGTAAAATATAGCATTATGCAACAAGGAAAATTGTTCGCTCATAAATTTTTTTTTTCGCTGCTCTAACGTAATTTATTTACCATTTTTTCGAATCTTGATCGGTAGATCAGTTTGAATGTAGTGTCGAATCGTATGAAAAACACAATGATTGTGATGAACAAATAAAATTTTTTGTGACGAATGAGTTCTTCATTGTAGACTTTCAATGATTCTGAAAACAGTTCTCAGTTTTCGTACTTGATGAATTTGCAGGTCGTTTTGCTGGAGTAGATCGCCGTGTACGACTTGAAACAGCCTAATTGCTTTCTGCTGCTGGCATATCCTAGAATATCACAGAGTGTTTGCAAGCGAGTGTTCGGGGATGGAATACTGGAGTAACTTTGGAGCATTCACCGTTGATGATGTTCGGAGGGAACGCCTCAGGTTAAAAACATTTCATGTAAAATAAATTGAAATAATGATGTTTTTAAAGTGAATTATAGCGTTATGCAACAAGGAAAATTATTCGCTCATAAATTTGTTTTTCGCTGCGTTAACATAAATTATTTACAATTTTTTTCGAATCTTGATCGGTATACAGTATCGAATGTAGAGTCGAGTCGTATGAAAAACACAATAATTGTGAAAAACAAATACAATTTATTGTGAAGAATGAGTTATTTATTGTAGACTTTCAATGATTCTGAAAACAGTTCTCAGTTTTCGTACTTGAAATTCCGACTGATCGATCAATCATTACTTTCGTTGCCTAAAGAAATATTTGATTGTAATGTAAAGAATTATTTATTTTAATTAGAATATGAAGTCTTCTAAAAATAATTCTAATAACAATGAAAATGCTAGTATCAAAATAAAGCAACGATAAACATCCATGAGATTTGTTCTTCTGTCACCAATAAAATGGACTTCACGTCACCAAAAGAAACCAAACAAAATACTAAGTAAACAAACTCGGGTAATTTCTTATATCTTCAGCCAAACTTGTAGAAGGAAAACATTTTGAATTGGGACTCTTCGATGGCCCTAGGGAGCCTTCCTATTGTATAAAAGATATCTACCTGTCTTTGGAATTATTTATTGATAAATATCGAAAATTCCATGTAACTATAAATAAATAATATTACGGATATTACGATAATTTTTTCACGAAAGTGATACATTGTAAGGCAATTTTCGTTTCTTGAAGAAGCTTCTTGCCTTAATTAGTATGAATTATTATTATTATTATTATTACTATTATTATTATTATTACGTTACAAATTATTCAATATGATTAGTGAGAGTGTGATTGGTGTGTGTAATAAAATCATAGGTGTGATTATATATTTTTCTTCGATGTAAAAATTCGTATTTTTAAGGAAGATTTACGCTAATGTGCGAATTCTGTTAATACACCGCAAAAATAATGATGTAACTTTTACATTATAAAATAATGAAATAGCCAATCGAATTAAATTTTTCGATTTATGTTGCCAACGTTTTCGATATATGTTGCGCCTCTTTTCCATAAATGAAAAAATGCGCTAATAATTGTGCTCGGCATGTCCGTCAGTCCGTCTGTCCGTGACTTCACGTTTCCGTCGATCTTGAGGAAATGCGCTCTCTGTCACTCACTTCAGTGAGTACTGATCTATTTTTTATTAATAGCAATCACGAAAGCACGAAAACAACCCATTGAATGTTGAATCGTCGACCCATGGATGAACTAATAGGATGCTGGGACAAAGCTGACAGTGTCAGAAGTAATTCAGAAGTAATTTTTCAGAATTTCGACTAATGTCAGAAGTAATTTTTTCGAAGTAAATTTAGTTCTTTTTCAATATTAATTTAAGTAATGAGTGCGATGCATTACATGGAGCCGTACAAGTTGAATATGATCTAAAACTTAGACCAATTCTACGGTAAACCTGAATTGATTCTTAGTGAACAGGATAAGCGGAGAGTTACAGCTTTTAAGTTGTAATTTTATTCAGATAAATCCTGACGTAGAAAAGAGCTGGTTATAAGTTATCTTGATCACTTGCCTAGGAAGTTTTGGCAATTATATGTAGGCAAATTTCAAACTGCAAATATAAGCTATAAACTTATTTCAAACTGCAAATATAAGCTATAAGCTAAATATAAGCGAGAAGTAATGATTGAATTAGAACAAACTCAATAGGTGATTTAGATGAGTGCTGCAGTTACGTCAAATTTGTGACACAAACTGAACATTATTTCGAATAAGGGAAGATTTGCGTGAAGCTCGTCAGTGCTTCATGTTGTGGTATTGTTTATGATATTCGGGAATTCTCTAGGCGCAATATATAATTATGACCACATTCTGTGACCTATGTGACCACACATAAAATTAATTAATTATTTATGTTTTTAACTCCTACGCTCTGCAAGCATAAGTTGAAAAACAATTTAAGACAAATTATTTCATTTGTAAATACAATGAACTTGACAACTTAATCTTATCAAGTATTAATTATTTAATTATATTGTTAACTCGCACGCTTCACAAGCCAACGGGAAATACAAGTTATTATATGAAGTTGAGAACTGTTCATTGAGAAACTTAATAATACTGTACTTAAATTAAATTAAAATAAAAAAGTTTTTATGGCTTGATATTATTTGCACACATCATGTTTACCCTGGTAATTGTAAGCGACATTAAAGAGACCATGAATGACGTGTGAATTCCAGTTTTGATCAAGGAACAAGTTTCAAACAAAGCTTTAGGCCAATTAAATACGGGGCTTGTGCTTTTTTCTGTATGTATAATTCGGGTATGATTATTTCATGAATGTTAAATAAAATTGGTTTATTCAATGTTCAATTTACCGAAGAATTGGACCAAATTTGTAAATAATACGACGTAACGTAGTGTGACTTAATTATGCTATCTAAACGACATCAAAAAATTAGAATTAGGATTAAAACTAAATCCTAAATCACTTTAAAATATAAGCTCGTAATTTTAAACCAAGTGTTGCACCAATGTTTAACATGAATCTGAAAATTGAACCTAGATTAGAAATAGCGTACAGATTTTGTTATTTATTGTGTTATGTTTAGTGTTATATTATGTTATTTATACAAACAAATAACATTATATTAACCTAATTATATAGACAACACCGTCGGTAGAGTAGTGACCCGAAATAAGATTGTATTTATGCATATGAGTGCTTAAAAAGGAACTAACGATTTGGCAAAAGATGTTTGGCAGTAGGGGTGACTCTAATTCTTGCTTGAGCTATACAGAGGAATGCATAACATAAACCAGATGATTTCCAAGAGATGGTGAGCAGCGTGGTGACTAAAATTAAGATTCAATTAAAGCAAATGAATGTTTCAAATAGACCTGATAATTAACGTATGAGATGGTGAGCAGCAGCAATGATATCCAATTAATGCAAATGTTTAAAATAAACCTGATGATTTAGATGAGATGATGAGCAGCAACATAGGTATTAAATTAAAGAAAATGAATGTTTAAAACAGACCTGATGATTTAGATGAGATGATGAGCAGCGTGGTGACTCCGAGCGTAGTTCGGCCTGGCGCAGAGCCGATGTCCATCCAGAAGCTGACCCAGGAGATGGCCACGATGAGGATGGTAGGCAGGTAAGACTGGACCAGGTGGAAGCCCAGCGACCGACGCATGTGGAACTCTGCCACTAGACAGCTGTAGTTGCCTGAAATGATGTGAAGGGGAGAATAAGGGTCTGAAGTGATGTTGAGGGGAGAATAAGGGTCTGAAGTGATGTTGAGGGGAGAAGAAGAGTCTGAAATGTCGTGAAGGGGAGAACAACGACCTGAAAGGTCGTGAAGGGGAGAACAACGACCTGACGGCCTGCACCACTAACCTCTTGTCGACTCTGAACGAATGGACCCGCCTGATGGACGAACGGGAGCCAGTAGATGCAGTGTANTATGGAAAGATCGGGTTCCAAAGGCCTGATCCCTTGTGAATCAAGTCACGAAAAGTACAAGGATCGGCAACAGGCCATGGGCCTATTTCTTCAACACCGATACTTCTGTTCTATTCTAAATGACGGGAAAGGGAGTAGAACAACAGCCTGAAATGATGTGAATGGGAGAACAACCTACGTAATTGATTTCGATCGACTTCTGAAGTCAATCAAAGTCGATAAAAAATAACAATAACATGAAGTACCAGTAATATGAAATAACAAAAACATGAAAATAAAAAATTTGAATGTACAAAATTTGAAAAACATAAAAATTAATGGGGAAAACCTTCAAAACTGGAATGGTTACATTTATGTACATATTATAATGTATATGACTGAACAAGGACATCGTATTATCATTGGTCATATACTATTTTTTTTAAACAATAATGATTGGGAGATGTTGAGCGGGCCAGCAGCAATGTATGCGCTTTAGAAGTTCTTTAACTTTCAGGAAAATTTATTTTCGATTTAATCATAACCCCCTTGTGTTAAATATCTGTATAATTATCATCACATGTTGACAGTCATTTTCGTTAATATGATGATGCCAATTTAAATTCAAGGCCCGAGGTACACGCTCGTCTGGCCGGTTAGGTTCCGGTTAAAGGCAGCTTACGCTCCTTCCATCAATCTCAACTCTAATGATCAATTAAGCGGGTAAACCTATCAACCTGACTCAGAAATTGATGCGTCGGGGCACCGTAAGTGAAAATCAGAGTAACATTATCGGTGGCAAGAATTTCAAGACCTATATTTTGGAAAACATTCTCACTCTAATGCCATTTAGAATGACTCAAATATCCCTTGAAACGAGAAAATGGGGAATTTAACTTGGAGATTGAAATGGACAGGGCTCGGTTAAATGTTAGTGTTAAAGGGGCTGGTATTAAACATGATTGTATATCTTACCTATCCATTAAAATATAGTAGATCGCATAACGTTATGCGACTTTGTCAAAAGGAAGATAATAAATATAATCGGTATAGCGGATAGTGCCATTTTTGTACTGATACAAAAAAATCTCGATAGCCACATAAATGATCCGGACACAATTAAATCATTGTAGATGATATTTGATATATAAAAAGCTGAATTTCCTTAAATTAGGGGTAGTCCGATTTCAGGGAATTATTTTGAACAAGACGTGGTCAATATTTTAATTAAACTATTGGGGTTTTCACCGGACTGAGTACTGTTCTATAAAATATATATTTACATCAAACGCGCAGTCAGATCACATTTAGATATAAGAGAAAACTTGTTCATGGAGCTGACTTGCGCGTGAACCCAATTTATTTGGAATATAAATTAAAAACTATTGATTTGTTCGAATCTCTTTTTAAAGACAAATATTGATAAAACAATATATTTTTTCATAGCTATAATTCCATTGCTGATAGCACTAATGCTAAATAGAATCGCCGGATATAGTTTTAAAAAGCATAACTATAACCCAAGTCGCGAGTTCAGTTGGCTTTTATAATAAAAAAAAATAAAAAAACTTATAGAGAAATTCAAAAGGAGTGCAAAAAATGAAATTATCTTGAATTCAGGCCCATGCAAATCTTGGCTCTGGAAGATGTTTCTTCCAAAATTTAGAGTTCTTTATTGCTGCCATATAATGCATTTCAGTCTCTCAACCCGTTAAATAGACGAAGCGTCGTGTTTTCTCCATCAACATCTGTGTATTTTTAGCATTTCGAATGTATTGTTTTCCACAAGCTTGAATTTATAATATCTTTTATCATAGTTTTAAATTAGGTAATTCTAAACCTGACAAAAAAATTACATGCATCATATTGCGATTATTTGCAACTAAATTAATTCAAATATAATATGGGTTTTAATACAAGGAATTCAATATATGAATCAAGATGAATTTAATAAAAACATCGTATTCCCTTCTGAATTCGTTATTTTCTTTAATAACTCATGGTAAAATGATCCCGACTGAATTGACGCACATTTTAACATTTTCAACGGACCAAGCAAGTGCCTTACACTGCTTATCAACTGCTAAATTTACTTATCAGCTGTCAATATTATCTGTTTTCTAAACTTCTACCATCAATTCCAACATTTTCTTCTTTCGCAAAATTTTCTCCGCAAATCCGAACTTCGATAATTTTTTGTTACAAGAGATCAGCGAGTTTGGTCGTTAGTAGAGATTTAAAAGTTAGGACTCGAACTCGGAACTCCCGGTGTTCTGCGCATTTATATATTTAGGCTTCGCAGAATCCATGGATATAGTAGGTATTTTATACTCTTATTTACCATTGCAAGCTTTTTTTTCTACGCTTCACTCCATTCGCGTGACGGGTGTATGATTGGAATCACTCCAAGAATTATTTTGATAGTTTTTAAGCGTTTTACAAAGTTATTGCAATTTATTTGTTTATACTTAAATATTAGAGATGAATTATATTTATAACTTAATGTCACTTGAACCGCCTATCATATGAATTTATTCTACATGTACGCATGTTTTTTGTCAATTAAATGGCTTATCGGAGGATGTTAATTAACAGGTGCGCATACTATTTTTACGTCATTAAAACGGCTTGTTAGAGGATACATTGAATAACAGCTGCGCAATTTAATTTAATGACATTATATTAGCTTGTAAAAAGACATCGTTTCCATTGTGGCGCGAAAGTCGCCATCATATTTTATTCGCCATATTTTTATTCGAGACACACGTGTAATTTTCTTAAGTGAAAGCATGAGTTTAAGTTTAGAAATATTACTTGTGTAGTAATTTTTTAATTAAATGTAAAATGAACGTTCACACCTGGTGTATGAAAACTAAAACTACCAATAAAGGAAAAACAAGGATCGTTAATCTAAATAAGTGTTGGCAAATTGGGAAAAATTTACAGCTTATCACGATTTTTTATCTATTTTACAGGCAAATAATTTAACATTGCGCGTTTGAAACAAATTTAAAAAGATGGATATTGTCATTTCACTGATCGTAGAGTGGTACTATATTTTTTCTTGTATGCAAATAACTGTGAGAGTAAGTATCCGTGATTATATCTTATCATAAAATTTTTTTTTGAACCGAAATTTCATTAGACTACTTCGGAGGGATTTTCGGCATGTGGTCCTCTACCTCTAGAAAAGTCTTAACGAATCCTAAGTGGTGCAATGGGGGAAGCAAATGTATAAGTAATAATTTTTTTTTCAGAAATCTCCCTTGGAAATTCTATACAGACGAGGGAAAAAAATGCGCAATTTGATTTCGAATAAAGAACAAACTGCAACTTCAAAAACGAGTTCACTTTCTTCCAAAATTCAATCTAAAAGCAACCAAATGGAATGCGACATGGCCTTAAACTGTCCAGGTGCAGAGAGACACGATGGAGAACTTTTAATAGTAAAACTAAACCAACGTTGCCTGACCGAGAATAACGTATTTTGAAAGTTGAGTAAAGAGAACGAATCTTAGTTCCGTTGGGGTTACGACAAAGTTACCGCCAAAATTCCAAAAAACTGCACCTTGAACTTTGTAATATTTTTCTCCCTAGCGTTTAGAACTACGAAATACGAAGCAAGTAACGGACATGATTAGTAAAGGGATTGCTAAGTAACGGGCATGGAATTAAGTAAATGAATACAAACTACGAATACGAACAGTACGTAAAGGAATACAAACAAACTACGCAATCAAACTACGCAACGTATTATCGACATAACTGAAATTTTGTTCAAAAAAGAAATCAAACATCAAGATAGATTTCGAGCATGGAATCAAGTGTAATTCAAAGTTATAATCTTAATTCAAAAGGAGGAAAAAATAAATTCACGAGGAATAGTTCATTTTGTATCCTTCATTTAACCATCACGAGTATGTAGTGAAAAGAATTGAAACAAAAGCGGTAAATTCCATAATTTTATTAAGGATGAGTGATTGCAAGCACTTGTTTGTTACGCTTGATCTCATGTTGGACTTCAAGATTGTGACAGACTCCAACGACTGCAATCAAGCAACGTGGAAAAATAATCAATCAATGAAGCTAGAATTCGACCTTTTCTCAACTAGAGTTCAAACATTACTTCATGCTAAAATTTAACCTTTACTGTCTTTGTGAATGCAGTTATATTTACTTTCTAAAGGTCGGTTCTATTTTGATAGTGATTTTGTGCGTGTTAAAAGGGGTGGGACTTGAGAATAAGACTGCTTCATTGTCGTAAATCTAATCCTAAGGAACATTACAGCAATTCGATCAAATGAAACGCCGTTCGCCATTCATTAGTTAATTGAATTTGCATGCAAGTGGGGCGATTCTGAGGGTTAAAGCCACACAAAGACTTGTTCCGATTGAGGCGGCAGTAGAACTTTATTGGATTAGGTCGCCGTGCTGCTTTTGATCATTCGGTGTTGTGGTTTGGTGATGGATGCGTGGTGGTTCAAGTGAGATGTGAATTTTGCTTTCAACTTGGATGGCTAAATTTAAATAATTCGTGATTTTTTGTTCGTTAATAAGTGTATTCATAATAAATTTACGTGTTTTTGTTTCAATAATTAGCTTTATTGCTATGCTTCTCTGATATGTCATTTCCAGTATATTAGACCCCTATTTTGACATTTATTTTTGACCCCTACTTTTTATCCATTAAGAAATAGTCATGTCTATAATATATATTAAAAATAGTCATGTCATGAAATAGTCATGTTTTAATATATATTAAAAAACATATATTTTAAAAAACATTTTAAAAACATATATATTGAAAATATTAAACTTTTTCCAAACTCAACCAGATAGGATGAAAGGGATTGAATTCAGTGTATATATTCTTTATATTAGGCGTCCAGCTAGCGAGTTCTAGTGATTTTAGATTGTTTATTCACATCTGGAATGGACAATATTTGTACAGTCATTGTTCCCCAGCGAAGAAGCAATAGCGGTTAATCCGATCTTGCATGATGCCGAGAAGCACGCGTTGCTCAGTGTGTTGTGCACTGATAAACCTAATGTTGCTGCTGAGCAAAATCTATTAGATTTCTGGATAGAGTCCTTTGTTAGAAGTGCGCTCGCACCCTCGATTCCATCGGTATTTTTCATAGCAAGAAACAAGCTATATACTAAATCACGTCCAATTGTTGTCCAATATACACAAGAAAATCGAATCTCCTTATTTTTTTGGTACTTGACGTTGGGAATTTAGTTGGCCGGAATTGATAACCTGATAAATTAAAGATTTATTTAATTTTTTTTTCGTTGAACTATCAAATAATTTATTAAACATTAAATAAAATTATTCATTTTTTCGTCGAAATTACATTAAGTTTTGAGATTGCGGATGAATGCAGATTTTTTACCATCGTTGAAAATGCTCTCTTTACATTGTTGTTTGAATAATACTGATTGAAAATATCGCTGAAGGTAACATAGCATGGTGCCGATGCACAGAGAAATCTCTAAACACGTCCATTTCCGAACATTGGCGTTCCAAAAGCCCATTGCGGTGGGGAAGCCCATTGCGGTGGGGAGTTCACAATGTAATCAAGCAGATGAAAAAGTTCTCGCTCGACAACTCGCCGGAACGCAGACAACTGAAGTTTAACAGTGTTTTAAACTCGAGTTTATAGTTTTAATATGAACGGAATAATTGTGTAATATTATTCTAGGTCAAAAAAGTATTCATATAAAGAAATAAATTCGTGATTTTTCAAGCGTGTTGAGAGCACGCAATAAAATGAGGGAGTGCAATTACGCATGAAAGCTGAATAAATATACGGGAATTTCTTATTAAGTTCTTGTTTTGAATGGAACTGCAGGCTTTAAAACTTTAATCTATCATGGTTTTTAATCCAGGTATTAGTGTAACACACTGAGGCAATTACAAAATGCTGTACATCAATTATATTTATTTACAGTTTTTATTTATTGATATATATATGTGTAAATATAATATTATTTATATGTATATTAATTATATTATAATTATTATATATATTTTTATTTAAATTAATAAATATATTTTATTAATTTGAGGTTTAAAAACTTCCTGTTTCACTTCATTTACAGAAAAGAAGTAAACCGTATGTGTTAAATTAAAATAAAATTTGAAGAAAAATCTTGAATGCGCATGCCTAAATCCTGTCTCTTATACACATCTAGATGTGTATAAGAGACAGANCTCACTTGTGTTGAACAATTTAGTTGAGACGTTCCCTCTCACCACTCACTTGTGTTGAACAATTTAGTTGAGACGTTCCCTCTCACCACTCACTTGTGTTGAACAATTTAGTTGAGACGTTCCCTCTCACCACTCACTTGTGTTGAACAATTTAGTTGAGACGTTCCCTCTCACCACTCACTTGTGTTGAACAATTTAGTTGAGACGTTCCCTCTCACCACTCACTTGTGCTGAACAATTTAGTTGAGACGTTCCCTCTCACCACTCACTTGTGCTGAACAATTTAGTTGAGACGTTCCCTCTCACCACTCACTTGTGTTGAACAATTTAGTTGAGACGTTCCTCTCACCACTCACTTGTGTTGAACAATTTAGTTGAGACGTAGTCTCTCACCACTCACTTGTGTTGAATAATATGGAATCAAATGTAAATCAATGTTACTATTTTGATTCAAAAAGGAGAAAAAATTAAATTCATGTGGAATAGTTCATTTTGTGTCTTTCACTTAACCATCACGAGTAAGTAGTGAAAAGTATTAAAACAAAAGCAGTAAATTCCATTATTTGGTTGACTATGAGTGATTGCAAGCTCCTCTTTGTTACGCGTGCTCTCATGTTGAAATTCAAGATTGTGACAAACTCCAACGACTGCAAGCAAGCAACGCTGCAAAATAATCAATCAATGAAGCTCAGAGTTCAAACATTACTTCATGCTAGAGTTCAACCTTTACTGTCCGATTGAACGCATTTATCTATACGTTCTAAAGGGCAGGTTCTATTTTGACAGTAATTTTATGCGTATTAGAAGGGGGGGAATTGAGAATAAGATTACTTTATTGTCGTAAATCTAATGCTAAGGAAGCCAACATTAAAGCTTCCATCAAATGAAACGCCGTTCGCCATTCATTAGTTAATTGAATTTGCATGCAAGTGGGACGATTCTGAGGGTTAAAGCCACACAAAGACTTGTTCCGATTGAGGCGGCAGTGGAACTTTATTGGATTAGGTCGCCGGGCTGCATTTGATCATTCGGTATTGTGGTTTGGTGATGGATGCATGGTGGATCAAGTGAAATGCGAATTTTGTTTTCAACTTGGATGGATAAATTTAAATAACTCGCGATTTCTAGTTCGATAATAAATCATTTCGGGTTATAATTTATTATTTTTTTGTTTAAATAATTAGCTTTGTTGCTGTGCTTCTCTGAAATGTCATTTCCAGTACATTAAACTCTTAATAGGCATTTTTAAAGCATATTCCTATACGTATTAGAAACATTAAACTTATTCCACACTCAGCAGATATGGTAAAAAGGACTGAATTCAATGTATGTTTTCTTCATATTAGGCGTCCAGTTAACGAGTTCTTATGATTTTAGGTTATTTATTTACAGCTGAAATGGACAATATTTGTATGGTCATTGTTCCGCGGCGAAGAAGCAATAGCGGTTAATCCGATCTTGATGCTGAGAAGCACGCGTTGCTCAGCGTGTTGTGCGCTGATAAACCTAATGTTGCTGCTGAGCGAAATATATTAGATTTCTGGATAGAGTCCTTTGTTAGAAGTGCGCTCGGACCAGCGCTTCTATTGGTATTTTTCATAGCAAGAAACAAGCTATTTCCCAAAACACGGCCAATTGTTGTCCAATATACAGGAAAATCGAATCTTCTACTTTTTAAGTACTTTACGTTGGGAATTTAGTTGGCCGATATTGATAACCGGATGAAGAGAAGATTGATACTTGATTGTTAACCGGAAGTTGAAGATTTTTTGATTTATATAATTTTTTCGTCGAAATAAAGCGTATTAAGTTTCAAGAGTGCGGATGAATGTAGATTTTGTTGTCATTGTTGAAAATTTTCGCTTAACATTGTTGCTTGAATAATACTAATTGAGAATATCGTTGGAGGGAACATAGCGTGGTGCCGATGCACAGAGCAATCTCTAAACACGTCCATTTCCGAACATTGCTGTTTCAAAAGCCCGATTGCGGTGGGGAGCTCACAATGTAATCAAGCAGATGAACAAGTTCTCGCTCGGCAACTCGCAGGAACGCAGGCAACTGAAGTTTAACAGTGTTTAAACTCGAGTTTCTAGTTACAATATGAACAGAATAATTGTGTAATATTATTGTGGGTAGATAAAGTTTTCATGTAGAGGAATAAATTCATGTTTTTCGATCGTGTTGAGAGCGCGCAATAAAATGAGAGTGCAATTACGCATGAAAACCGAATAAATATACATGGATTTCTCATCAAGTTCTTATAACTGAATGAAACTGTTGACTTTAAAGTTTAAAACTTTGAACATATCATGGTCTTATATCCAAGAATAAGTGTAACACACAGAGGCAATGATAAAATGCTGTACATCAATTATATATATTTAATTTTTTTATTTACTGACATATATGTATTTATTATATTATTTATGTGTATATTAATTATATTATAATTATTATTTACATATTTTGATTTAAATAAATAAATAAATTTTATTCTTTATTAGTTTCAAAATTTTTTGTTTCACGTAATTTTTTTCCGGAAAAAAGTAAAGCCTATATGTTAAATAAATTAAAATAAACTTTGAAGAAAAATCTTGAATGCGCATACCTAAGTCCGTAGACTTTGTGACATGTTCCATCGTAATAAGTCAAGGCGTGAATCTCTACTGATGTTAGTTAGATGATTTACGGACAGGATTATACTTATATACGAAATATGAAAAAATTAATATTCATATTGATGGTTGTAATTATGGTATATTCATAATGTATTGATTTATGAATTTTTTGCGATAATATTTTTTCATCGAGGGAAAATAATTTCTTTTTTCGTCTTTCATTTTTAAATAATAACCCAAGCATCAGGATCATAAATTTCTGCCATTTGTGACAATAAATATAAGTTCTGCCCATCATCAATATACGAGAAAATTTTCATTTTTAATTTGCGAGATGACTTGCCATGACTATATATGCGCGTCTCAAGCTTAATAATGTCTGTCTCTTATANCATACACTCCATGCCCTTGTTGGACAGGCATGTCGCTGTCTCTTATACACATCTAGATGTGTATAAGAGACAGGTTGAGAGTTTCCCTCTCACCACTCACCAGTGCAGAACAAGTCACTTAAGAGTTTCCCTCTCACCACTCACCTGTACAGAACAAGTCACTTAAAAGTTTCCCTCTCACGACTCACCTGTACAGAACAAGTCAGTTGAGACTTTCCCTCTCACCACTCACCAGTACAGAACAAGTCACTTAAAAGTTTCCCTCTCACGACTCACCTGTACAGAACAAGTCAGTTGAGAGTTTCCCTCTCACCACTCACCAGTACAGAACAAGTCACTTAAAAGTTTCCCTCTCACCACTCACTTGTACAGAACCAGTTAGTTAAGATGTTTCCCTCTCACCACTCACCGTTGTGGGACAAGTCACTTGAGAGTTCCCCACTCACCACTCATCTATGTTTAACAAGTTAGTATAGAGGTTTCCCCTCGTAATTCACAGCTGAAAACCAAGTTAGTTTAGCCTTAAAGCTTCCCTCTTCACCACCCCCAATCACCGATGTGGAAGGATTCCTGGCAGATCGAATCGACGATATTGGTGATCTCGAATTGCGGCATCCGTAGGTCCCGGTACATCTTGATAGGATCGTCCTTCTTCCAGCGCAGGTCTAGCTCCTTCATTGTCTTCGAAACTGGAACGACAAGGAAGTGAGTTTAGTCAGAGAGTAATTAGTAAATTTACATTTTATGAGTTGTATTCATTGTTACTGATTGTTGGAAGAAAGTAGTCAACTCAATACAGAATATCGCGGATACAATATTTAAATAAATACAGAATTATTTATACAGTGTTACTGAATACAATAATACAATACACAAATTAGTATACAATACATAAATTAGTATCGAATTGTTTATAAGGCTTCACTGTACGTCTTATATAATGGGTAAGTAAATACAGAATTGTTTGTATGACATTACTGAACAGATGAATACCTTGCGTCGAAAAGTTTCCACAAAGTAATGATGAATTTCAGATTAATCAAGAAATAATCTTTATATTTTCACCTGGGTATTACAGAACATATCACAATCAGTACTTGATTTATGGCATATTATACTATGTTATATATTTTTATTATAATTTGATATCGTGATACATTCAATTAATCTGATGTTTTCATCTTTTGATTAGCTTATCTAAAAGTGAATTTACAACATAAATGCAATTCTGCTCATTATCAGCTCGTATTTTGAAGTGGATAAAAAATATCAATGCCAGCATCTGATGGACGAGTCTTTATCCTCCTTGAGAAGGATTTCAGGGCACCAAATATCCTCAGGATCGAGCAGCACATCCATCAAAGTCTCGACCTGCTCTACCATCGATCCCAGAAAATATAACTTTGCTTTACGGATCATTAACGGTTGTATTACGTTGCATTTTAATCCCACTAGACTCGTTCTATACTCATACTCGATAAATTTTTAGTGCATTTTCTCATTTATGGAAAAAATGCAATATTGTGCTTGCCATGTCGGTCTGTCTGTCCGTCTGTCCATCCGTCTGTCTGTCCGTCTGTCCGTCCGTGACTTCACGTTTTCGTCGACGAGAAAATGCGCTCTCTGTCACTCACTGCAGTGGGTACCTACTGAGTTATATTTTTGCAACATTAAATACATGAGAATCCGATAAATACATGAGAATGGTAAAGGGGGATTAGAATTTTTTTTTATTCCATTCAAGTTGGGAAAAATCAATTCGTTTCCAGAGATAGTTCCAGAATTTTCTTTAATAAAAAAATTGTCAACATGCTTGTTAGTTTCTCAAGTTGTACATCGATAGAATTATAAAAACAATCTAGATTGAGCTTACGAACGAAGTTTTAACGTTAAAATCAATCATTTTATATTAAATTTAATTAGAACATACATAATTTTTTATTCAATCGGTATATTTGGACTTAACAATGCAAGAAACATGCAATTAGTAGGAAAGAAAGTTGTAAAGTATATTTTTTATGGATATGAATTCATATACTATATCTTTTAGTGTATTTTTTCATGAATATGGATTGTCATCATAAAAAAATTATAGTTCATATTAATATATTAATTGACAGTTGAACTCAGTCTTTTTGTGGCTTTTTCTCATTTATGGAAAAAAAGGCGCTATTGTGCTCGCCATGTCCGTCCGTCCGTCTGTCTGTCCATCTGTCCGTGACCACAATTTCGTCGACGAGAAAATACGCTCTTTGTCACTCATTACTACTGAGTACTGAGTTATATTTTTTCCATCAGGGTTAGAATGCTTTTACGTTTCATTGATCAATTTTCTTTGCCATTGACTTCTATTTTCCTCAGTCACAAACCGTGGCCAAGCATGGTCATATAATTGTTCTAGGATGCTCTCTCAGAGCCCTTCGAAAGGAGTGAAGCTGTCCATGGATATCGTGTCTCAATTGCCATTATAAGGAAACAAACTATATGCATATTAAATATAAACCGACTGTTACTTAAGACGGCATATTTTCTTAATGTAAATTAATCTAGCTTCACGATTTACTATTATCTAAATATTTAGCAATATTTCAATAAAATAATCGGATTCAAAGCTGCCGTATTGTAAAATTCAATGGCAAACGATATCAGTGAACCGTATTTTTTCGATTACTGCGCTTTAGCCATTCCATATCATCAATTTTTTAAAGGTCGTAAGCTTTTCATTGACAGTTGAATAAAAGACCCTCAAAGAATGAGCGTTTCAAGGTGGATGCTCTTTGAATTAATGTCTCGCAGCTGGAAGTGATATTTCCCTGAGGTCTCTTTAGACCCTTTCACTTTGATCAGATTTCGACACCATGTATATTTTCGTATGAATTAAAGTTATTAAATTGCGAGTCGCTTTGATTTCGCTTGACTGAAATCAATGGTTTGCTCTACTGGTGAAATCTAAGTAATGTATTTTGTTCGGTAGTGTTCTACTAATGAAACTTGAAGTTATCCTTTTTAAAGTGGAAACAATACTTATTTCATAAAAAGTTACTAAACCAAATTTACAAACATTTTTTACAATTAATTGATGAAACCTATGTTATTATATTATATCAAGTTAAATAAATTATATTATATTATATTATATTATATTATATCATATTCACGTCATTTGAGTTAACAAGAGTCGCCGAATTGTTTAGGAAAAGTTTTTGCATTTGAATAGAGAAACGTCGCTCATTTGCTAGCACCACACACATCATAATTCGTTGATTTATTTCTCCGAACTTCAATCGATTGAATTAGGCCAGATTTTTAATGATATCGTCCATCGGGTACTTCTTTTATTGAAATTTATAATTCGGTAAATAGTTACTCGCAATGGTTCGTTACATTGGTTACAAAACAGTAACACTTATGAGTATTTGTAGCCTGTTATTAGTGAATATTGTATGGATATCTATGGATGGTACCAATATAACAAATTAAATTATTTTCAAGTTTACAAGGTACAATAATAATTCATCTTTCACAGATTTTTTGAATAAAAAAAACAAATAAACTATCTTTCTAATTTGATCCTATTGATGAAACCTATGTTATTATATTATATCAAGTTAAATAAATTATATTATATTATATTATATTATATTATATTATATTATATTATATTATATTACATCATATTCACGTCATTTGAATTAGCAAAGGTCGCCGGATTGTGTAGGAAAAGATTTTACATTTGAATAGAGAAATGTCGCTCATTTGCTAGCACCACACACATCGTAATTCGGGGATTTATTTCTCCATACTTTAATCGATTAAATTGGGCCCTGAATTTTAATCATATCGTCCATCGTGTACTTCTTTTATTGAAATTTATAGTTCGGTAAATATTTACTCGCAATGGTTCGTTACATTGGTTACAAAACAGTAACACTTATGAGTATTTGTAGCCTGTTATTGGTGAATATTGTATGGATATCTATGGGAGGTACCAATCTCACAATTTAAATTATTTTTAAGTTTACAAGGTACAATAAAAAATCATCTTTCACAAATTTTTTTAAGAAAAAAACAAATAAACTATCTTTCTAATTTGATCCTTTATTATTTCCGAGTGTCTGCACACGAGGCAGGCGATGTAAGCCGGACATGCCTCCATTCCGGCAAATGACGTTGAAACAACGTTGATTTGGGAGTTAATTTATTGTAAATACGTTGAATTAATGTTATTTTTACGTCAGATGTCTGGTAAATCGGACGCTTACACGAACAGCCAGATAATATTAGAGTTTGTTTGCTTACATACACCGTGTCTTAGGTTGTAATAAAAATCTCGAACTGATTTGTAATTCCGACTCCGAAATTATTAATGGTGTCCAGGCGGGCAATAATCAGGCTCCTTCCTATTCTGATAATTTTTGCCTTGAAGCTCGAGATTAATTAAGAGGGCTTGATATTTTTTATTAAGGTCCCAAAAATTGACTCTCATATATTACAGCGTAACACAGTTTGGGTGAAAATTCTTTTCCAAAAATTAAATATCACAACAATAACGGTTTGCAGTATAAATTATATTTGCAAACATACTGTAATTTCAGTCGTACAGTTAATTGCTTAGACAGTCACTACCTGCCAACAATTATTAGTCTAGTTAAGATCCATAACTGTGTTTTTATGAGAAAAGTATACAAGCTGTTTGTTCAACGGTTTAAAATGTTTATCTGAAGTTTATTGTAGTCGAAGAAAATCTGCCGTCACTTTATTTTCTAAACGGAAGGCCGTTGGAACTAGAAAGCTAAAAGGCTTGTAAGGACATTCTGGATCTCAACTTTTTCAAAGGAAGCTCCATTTTAACGAAGATGTTTACGTCCTGAGTTCTGTTCTTCGATCTATAAACTTTTCTGGTCCCTGCACTGATGTTTTTCCTTGTTATATATATAATATTGGTACCTGAAATGAAATTTTTTTATCCATTTAGAAAAAAGAATTATTTATGTGGATTATTTATGAATTATGGAGGCGGAGCATCAGCTTGACCGTGGACTACGAAGTCCTAAACTCATCATAAGGTCATGTACATTGTGGTCTTGCTATGGGCGACAAAATTGGTAGGAACTTCTGTATGTCATTATTTCGTGTGCCTTTCACTCTATAGCGTGCCTTTCACTCTAAATCATAAACTGCTACATCATGGGCAGTCTTTGTGCTACTTTCAAAATATATTTAATAAAAAGGGTTTATATTTATAGAATAGTCAAAACACTGCTGAATGTTTTGACGCTATTGTTCATATATGAAATCTAAATTGAAGCGAAGTTACCATGGTTCGTTTCGAAATAAGAAAGCGAGCGTCATGCATTCAATTGCAGAAAGCGACAACATAAAACCAATCACGGAGAATATAGCAACCTAAAACAAATCACGATTTTTCCCGGAGAATATATAAGAAAACGAACCAATCAAAATTTTTCCTGGAGAATATATAAGAAAACGATTGTTTCTTGAATTCTTATATGCCGGCCAAGGCTCCACGACAGCCTGTTCAGCATCTGGCGCCATGTGACTGATGCGAGGTCAGCAGCCGGCGCCCATGGTTGAGACTAGACCAAACATGCCATAGATTCCATTAAAATATGTAGTTATGTATAAATATGTAGTAATATATAGGTACAAATGATTCTGGAACCTGAAG